AAATAAAAAAATGTGCTCTTGCCCACCCCCCCCCCCCCCCCCTCCCCTCATTCACAAAGTTTCCTGTACTTCAAACATGCAGGCTTACTTATTTCATTTGTCATGTTTGTAATTCTATGTTTTTCGACGACGTGGTGTGAACGAAGGGGAAGGGTGGGGCTTGAAGACCCGCAAAAATATTATTACCAAAGAGAAACACGTCGATATGATGTTTTTGTTGCTCATCCTAAATTTCCAAGCACTCTATATCATGTAGGCCTCCATTACATAATAGCCCACAAAGCCTTACATAGTAATTTTCTAGGCGTTGTAAGTGGGAACATGTTACAATTACTTTTTAATTAGCCTCTACCGTATTAAAACCTTACACGTATTGGTGTCTTTGTGTGAAGAATTACTTATACTAGGCAAAAATCTTTCTCCCATTATTGTCTGGGTTTCAGTTACAACAGCTCGATTCTCACACCGTATCCCCCCTTTTTTCTTTCTCTCTTCCTTTCTCTCTCTCTCTCTCTCTCTCTCTCCCTCCCTCCCTCTCTCTCTCTGTCTCTCTCTCTGTCTCTCTCTCTCTCTCTCTCTCTCTCTATCTCGCTGTCCACATTTCCTTGGCTTTGTTTCTTGACAAGCTTGTCGCTATAGGAGTGTTTGACACCCCTTTCTTTTCAGGCATCTGTCTTTTTTTTGTAAATACATGACTGTATACAGTGTCTTATCGGCAAATGGAAAACCCAGGCCCCTATGTTTATGATGACCACTTGATGGTCTTTGCTTGTTCGAGAATTGCGAAATTCTAGACAAACTCGGCAGATGTGGTCCGCCCTCCCCATTATAAATGGTATAGTGATAATTCCAAGCTCAAGCTCTCTCTCTCTCTCTCTCTCTCTCTCTCCTTCTTTCTCTCTCTCTCAAACTCTCTTTTCCCCCTCTATTTCTCTCTGTCTCTCCTCTCTCGTTCAGTTTCTCTTCTTGCCTTTTCTTACCGTTACCATTTACATTATCGGTAGCCTCCCGCCCCCCCCCCCCCCCCCCCCCCCCCACAAACATAAACACCCACCGCCCTCTTCAGAGCATAGCATAGACCATGAATATCCACCTGTAATACTCAGCTTACAGCCTTTATTCAGCACCTTGGACGCCTGCAGAGTCATGTAACGTTTTGCTTAAAGCCCCACTGCGCACTACGTATAGCTACTTGTACCCTCTATATAGCAAACTTCCCCAATCGGTGCCTGTTGGTCCCCCATGATCCTCTATTTCTTATGTTATTTGAGAGCTGAGTTGATGAGATAGCCACCTGTCAGTGACCTCGCTGTGTGGTCTAATCCCTCCTAGCCACACTAGTGTTGATAAGCTTTAAGCCCCACTGCACTACTTATAGCTACTTGCGCCCTCTATATAGCACGCAATGCCTAATCGGTGACCATTGGTCCCCCATTGTCCCCTTTTTCTTATGTTAATTGAGAGCTGATTTGATGAGACAACCACCTGTCAGGTTTTAAAGATAGGTTTTAAAGTTCTCAGAAAAGGAATAACATTTGAAGCACAGACAGAAACCTATTTTGGCTCATTTTCAGCGTCTAAAAATGATGATTTAATACAGGAATGCTTGTCAAGTATGCAAGGTATTTATATTGTCTCTACACGCGGGTCTACTATCTTTCTTTATCTTTCTTTATTATCCTCATTAATGGCATGCCTTTAGTTTAATTGTAAAAAAAAGGAGAAAAAAGAAGGAACGATAAACTAGCGCTCCAGTGTTCGTTTGGGATTAACCGATTGTAAAACGGAGGAATTGTAGTTAAATACCGGTTTACACAATAAGCTATTGATATATTAAAGAGATAAGCAGTAAATAAGGGGTATTGCAAGAACTGTTTAATGGACAGTGACCATAAAATAGGTCCATATTTAACGGGTAGCAAGACGACCAAGAAAAGCAAGCAACAAATAAAAAAAGATTGAAGATTAAATGCATAATATTTCGGGATTTTTACTAGCGAGTTTCAATAGTAAAGGTGATTCCTTTCCCCAAAAGTGTAATTTAACTGCGGCTTTCCAACATAGATTTAAGCCTTTCGCAATTCAGCCATTTTTATTTGCTTTTGAAAATATTATCGAAATCTTGTAACACTGCTTAAAATCATTCTCTTTTGTGAAATAACAGGTAAGAACCAGTATTTTCAATACAATTATGATATCTATTTGGGGACAGTAATTCCACATTTTGTAGTTTGGCTATATGACTTTTAATTCAATGCCCTAAAGAATATAGATCCTGCATGAGTACAAAGAACAAAACTTTCTGCATGCGAGAGGTGATTGTTTGCTTTATATCCCACATCGACAATACATTTCCAAAAAGAAGATGAATGGTGAACACAACAGTTAACACTGAATATATTAATTACGAACGAGTGTTTGAGAGCTGCTTAGCTTCTTGCAGTCATGATAGCCTATATACGCTTATTTCGCAAAACTATGCCCAATCAGGTCCTGACGTTCATGGCTATGCGACATCAGCGAGGAAAAAAAAGATTTTACTATCACTGCGACCGTCAAGATAATTATGCAAGCTATCATTTGTCATTTTACCTCATTTAAACAAATTGTATTTGCAAGATTCTTGATATATGGGATATAAATATTGATTCTGCAAGATTTTATAACCTCATATACCCTTTAAATTGAACTTAAATGTGTTAATGGGATCAAGAAATCCTACTTCAGGGGGATAGGAAGCGGAAACCTAAAACAAAATATGAAGAAAGAAAATTTTTTAAATGAACCAATAGTCGGAGAAATTGAAATAAAAATTCTGCATCTTAAATTGTCAACTTGTATTTGATAGTTAGATTTAAAAGCCTATATATATATATATATATATATATATATATATATATATATATATATGTATAGGCATGAAACATCCGTACGGCATTTAAGTAGGAAATACGGTATCAATTAACAATTAACATCAGACTCTGTTATGGTCAAGCTCGATTCGATAAAGACCGTAATCATGTATGGTAATGTTTGTAAACCTGCAACAACAAAAAAATCCCCCTTTTTGAAAACCATATCTCATTACTTTCAAGTGTAATGGATGCATTACACAATATCAACTCACATGGTTTGGCATCAGAAATAAAAAATATCTTGTTTAAAATCAGGCAAGTCAGCACTTATAAAGTCTATTGCATTCTGACAAACATTATTTTGTTTCGCTTTCGTTTGTCTCCTGTCCTACATACATTATGTATACCAAACTAATGTTAAAGAGCAACTGGAAGTCTTTAATTAACAACAAAGTAGCAACTACTTTCGAAAGAATTAACCCCAAGCATCGCCTATCGAAATGTGTGAAGATGACAATGATGTATTAAGTACCGTAAGCCGAACATGTTTGCTATGGGGCATACAATAGAGTTTTGGTTCTTCGTAGACACAAATTTGAATTTAAATCCCCCCCCCCCCCAAAAAAAAAAAAAAAAGTTGAGATCGACATTGCATGAGGGGGGGGGGGGGGGGCACGGTGTGACCAAGAATATCTGGTTGTGGTTTTAGGGCCAACAAGGTTATTCACTGTGAATTTAGTGATAAGGAATTAAAATTACTTGTTTATAATCAGGCAAGTTAGGTCTAAAGTCTATTGCATTCTAACTCTTAACCTCATATACATAATCATTTGTATCTCTTTCATTTATCTTTTCAGGGGCGTCGCTAAAACATTTCAAATATTTATGCACGACTGTGTCTTCTGTCCTACATAAATATATGTTTAGCAAATAATTTGAAGCATGAACTATCAGAGAATACCGTATCGTAAAGAGGGGGAAATGACGATAAAATGATATTGCCGCAAATGGGTATCCGAGTTGTCAGTTTTGCATACGAACGAAAGTGATCATAAATGCGACGATCAAGTACCATGCATCCGGGAAATGTACACGAACATGCATGTGTGCCTATATGAAACCAATCAATATAATTAACCATCTAGCTGTTGCATGTATTGTGAAAATGTGAAACGTCTTGACGTGAATTATTGACATGTCTTTGAATAGAATTACAGAGCTACAAAGGGACAGTACAAGTAGCTCCAGGGAGTTCCCGGGTAGCTCTATACATTAAGAAACAAGGGCGCTGCTACTGTATGTAACAGAATTGCGTCCTAATTTCTTGGTGTATAGTTATTTGAATAGTATGCGAAATTTCACTTCCATCAACTTTGAAGTTTTGCCACAACTATTGGTAAAAAACACAATATCAGTAAAAAAAAAAAAAAAAAAAAGTAAGAAAATAACATGTTTAAGTACACAGACAAAATACGAAAGCAAACTTATACTGTAGTTTTATCGCAGGAACGTCTAACTGATTGGAAGGTGTTATCTTTCTTTCATTCTTCTCACTTCACTGTTATCTCTCTATCTGTCTCTCTTCCACTAACTCTATATATTTATCGCTCAATTTTTCTCCTTCCATTCCTCCTCTCTCTTTCTGTCTGTCTCACCAAATATGATATGTACATGTATGTTTATTTATCTGAAACTGGATCGGCATCACCCTCTGCACCCCCGAGCAATCGCTCCCACATCGCTCCTGCATTACAAAGTGTCAAATGCAGTCAAACTAATGAGGCACATGCATATGCATAGGCTTTGTGCATATTTTCCATTCAGTATCAACAACCAGAAAGTCATTCTGCAATATATAATCACTCGCCTATACTATAATTAGGCTCTGACTCAAGAAAATCGATCCTTTCGAAACACAAATGGAGATGTTATGCATGTTAACCATGCGTAAACGTGAAGTTACAAAAGACAATGGAATCGACATGTGTGAAAAAAACCATACCCTCAAAAATGATATATATATTATATTCTAGTGATTATTCGAAACACCAAACTGATTTCTTAATCCTTTCTTGTGGGTAGGCACCCGCAAAATATAGTTCACTCTATAAACCCATACAACGTCCGAGATGAGTATACACTTACCTTGCCCCTGCCTGTGCTTGTACAGGTCCCCATCTTGGGATGTTGTAAGATACCTGCCGCCCTTCCCGCTGTGACTGTAATGTAGATAGGCCAAGTATGAATTTTCTAAAGCGGGACGCTTAGCTTTTTTCTGTTGGCGATGCACTTGGACGCCAGACGCATATTATAATCACCATCACTCTGCCTGTGCGATGCGACGAGTGCGAGGTTGAAGCTGTGGTTTCAAGACAGTATACGGGCACCAGACCGCAGAATGCACTCGTAATGATAGCAAAAAAACATTGATTGCCCGCGCTGCTCATTTATGATTCAGACAATGTTAATGTGTTTGCCCTCTCTCCCCCACTCTCAGACAATGTTTGCTCTCTCTCGATCTCAATCTCTCGATCTCGATCTCCCTTTCTCCACACTGGCACGCGTCCCGAATTAGGAGGACCTATTCTCTCTCCACCCCTCCCCTCCAGAGGCACAGTGCCCCCCCCCCCACTTTTTCATGTACCCCCAAAGTTTCCCTTTTTACATGGGTAAAGTGCCCCTTTTACATTGATAAATGCCCCTATTAATTTGTACAAGTGCCCTGTCCCCCTTTCACCTCCTAAGAGTGCCCCTTTTCCTTCGACAAGTTCTCATGTTCCTTTGCAATAAGACAGTGTCCATTTTACATTCTCATAAGTGCCCTTTTAATCTCTAGTAAGTGCCCCTGTTCAGGTACGAGAGGTTCCCCTTTTCCTTTTTGATAAGTGCCCCCTTCAGCTCTGATAATTACCCTATTCAAATCTGAGCGGTGCCCATTTCCTTTCTAATAAGTGCCCCTTTCCTCATAATAAGTGCCCCCATTGTATTAAAAAAACGCCCCCTTCTTATCAATTACCCTTTTCATCTCTGGTAAATAACACTTTTCATGTACGAGAAGAAACTCCTTTTGACACGTGCTCCTTTTCTTTTCTAATAAGTGAATTATCCCTTTCGATAAGTGTCCCTTTAAGCGACTAAGAGCAATTTCCCCCAAACCTAGCTCGCTACGCTCGCTCGTATTTATAAATGAAATCATTATATTACTTATCAAAGGTCTTTTCAGTCTTCCGTGAATGTGCTTTCAAGTAGGTTCGTTTTTTCATTTCCTGTAACCATATCATTTTGCATTACAATGACCAAAAACCCTCCGCCGCACGTGACCCCCATCCCTTCCCTCCCTCTCCTGTTCTACCTCTCTCCCTCCCCTCAATCCCTTCCCTCTCCCTCCCTCCCTCCCTTCCTTCCCTCCATTCCCTTCCTCTCTCCCTCTCTCATCCCTGATAACATAATTACAATGTAGGGGTTTATACCAATGTATTTCGCTTTAAGATTTTCCTTATTATAGGTGCCCCTTGTTGGTGCCCCCCCACACTTTGGAAGCTGCTCTCCTGCACCTGACCCCTCTCCTGTCCTACCTCTCTCCCTCCCCTCAATTCCTTCCCTCTCTCTCTCCCTCCCTTCCCTCCCTTCCCTTCCTCTCTCCCTCTCTCTCCTCCCTCCCTCTCTCCCTTCCTCCCCTCCCTCCCTCCCCTCCGTCCTCTTCTTTCCTTCCCCCTCTCTCTCCCTCCCTTCCCTCCCTTCCCTTCCTCTCTCCCTCTCTCCACTCCCTCCCTCTCTCCCTTCCTCCCCTCCCTCCCTCCCCTCCGCCTCTTCTTTCCTTCCCTCTCTCTCTACCCCCTCACTCCATTCCTCGCTACCCGTCCATCCTACTCTTCCAGGTCCCTCTTCTTTGCCTTTTGTCCCAGGTTGATCTTGACTCTAGCTATCTTCCAATGCAGCACCTCCTCTTTTTTCTCATTGATTTGTATAATACGGGACTTTTTCTCGAGAATGATATCTTGTCCAAAGTTGCAGATCAATTAGTGCATTAGAACATGGACCTACTAACTAGGTCCATGATGGGAACGACTTTATATTTTATTATCTGTATATAAATAGGCAATTAAGAAGAAGGGACAATTTGCAACACGCTTTACGAGCCTAGCGGGTAATTGTGATCTTCTGATAATGAACATGATATTAAGAGGCTTGAGGTATGCGGCCTCCCAAAACTGTTTTTAGATAGGAAGCAAAATTAAGAAATGAGAAGAAGCGAAAGGCAGGGTTCATGTATCTCTTAATATAACCGACCTTACCAATCTACTTAGGTAACCTGAACGCGGTTATTTTTTTATATAATTCTTCAAATATAGACCTACATATTAACGTATTATAATGCAATATAAATGATGCACCTGCGTTGTTATAAAACTGCATTTTAAAACATATTGTGGCCATCATTGAACACTGATTTTATAACCTCGCAAACTTGATATTTTACGCCAAAATCAAAAGAATAATATTTGCAAATATATAAAAGGGAAAGATGAACGTATACCGCCTTATCCCAAGTCCTACTAGTTGATTTTTTTTTTGCTGAAAAATACAACCAGATGGATCACGATATTATTTCTAGATAAAATCTAATTTTCGGTATATACACTAGAAGCCCAATTTCTTATTTTGTTGTGTTTTTGTTTGTCTTTATAATTATTTTGAAACAACTATAGGGAAGTGCTTTCAGTTCCTTTAACTTGTTTATCTCAATGCCCCCCCCCCCTCTCAGAGCTGACCACTGGACCAACTTAATTATCTGACATATCTACTTCATTCAAGGCTGATTTTAGTCTACTACGAGGGGCTAAAGGGGAATAGATGACAAAGAACTTATTTCTTCATGATTAACATTATTATTTTTTAGTATCTAATCAAATGGGCACATGGTACAGGATTCTGTGACTAAAATATGATAGGAAATAAACCACGTTTGAATTTTTTTAGGGGGCAACTACCCCAGCCCCCATCATTACGCCAGTGCGAGGGAGCATAGTGAACGAGAGGGGTGAAGGTGACGGAAGTGACTACCCCCTCACAGGGTTTTTAAGTTTTGTGGTATTAAGAAATGACATGCCTCAGCAAAACTATAGTAGAAAAACAAGCAATATAATTTTTCACACTTCACTTTTCTACAATATTTACTTGTATACTATGAAGGATATTATGCGAGGGAGCGAGAAGATTTTTGCATTTCATTTTTCTAAACGCCACTCTCTTGGGCCCTCAGTATTTGCTATACACTTTTTTGTGTGCAATTTTTCAAATTTTCCAGGGGGGGGGGGGTGATCCCCCTTAACAAATTGGGGGAGGGGGGGGGCGAGGTGGCATGTCCCCCCGTCCACCCGGGATCGCTGCCCCTGGTATTATGTGTAATATGGAAACAATAAACTGATACTGGAACTGAAACCTGTTTCCCACTTAGAAGAAGGAAAACAATTTGTTTTTCATGTTAACAAATTGCAATTGGTAGCCTACTAAAAGTCGTATTGTCATGAATTTCTGGTGGTTTTCCCCTCTGTTCCAGGAATCACAAAAGGGCATTTTCCTTTCATTACCAATCACGCAATGTGATTTTACTAATTTCTTTTGTGAGAAATCATTGAAAGAAATGCCAAGAAAGATATGATATATAGTATAAAAATTCATGTATGAACAGTATAGTAGCAAACGCTACTTTTGTTTAAAAAATACTAAATTTGTACAGACAAACAAAATCTGATGGGATTATATGATTTTATTTGCAATGCCCTACACTGCCATTTTGAAGGGTAGCTAGGTTAAGAAACAGTATCTAGCTAGCTCATGGTCAGGTCCAACTCCGTTTGTTTACGGTGTTAGTTTCAGGAAATCAAGATTGTGGATAAATCAAGTTAGGTTAATAAATATGATTACTAGTATCATGAGTTATGATAATTCATGGAAAAATTATAATCTTGAAACTCTTCATCGGCTGAAATTGATGAGTTTTTCGGTGCCTGAATATGGCTAAGGCTATATAATTTGTAGGTCCATAAGTCCTACTAAAATCTACTTTCTAGAAAAACATTATTTTCGTGTAAACAATTATTGCTAGTTTATAAAATAGCAAACCAGTCCTTAAATGGCTATGATAATTGGCCTGCTTCAGGCGCGTCCGCAGGGGGGGGGGGGGGGGGGGGGGGGTGAACCCTTTGGTAGTTTGTATGTGTGTATCTTGGAAGAACCCCCCCCCCCCTCCCTTTTTTTGTTTTTTGTTTTGTTTTATTAAACAAAACAAAAGAGTGTCCTCTTACCCCCCCCCCCCGTGATGGCATTGCTGCTACACACGGCCACCCCACCACCACCCCCCCCCCCCGTGAAACACAAAGAGGCTACGCCATCTATGAACTACTTGGACAAAAATTGTCGGTAATAATATGTAGACCGCATCGCACAGCGTGGTCGGACTGATTGGGGGGGTGGGGGGGGGGGGGGGCGGGATGATGATTCACGTAATATTGGGCACGCCTTTTTCTTTACTAATTCTGAAATCCATGTTTTCGATAAATGTTTTCTGGAAAAATTTGGGGTCACGTGGCGTCCCCCCCCCCGGCCCCGCATCTACGCCACAGCCGTTGGGGATTTCGCTTTCTTCTCATCATTTTGTACCCTCATCCCGTTTTATGAATAGCGACTCTCATTTCGTATTATGAATAACGACCCTCTTCTCGTATTTTTAAACACCGACCCTCTTCTCCTATTATGAATAGGGTCATTTCGTATTATGAATAGCGACCCTCATATGTATAGCGACCCTCTTCTCATATCATGAATACCGATCATCTTCTTTGATTGTGAATAGCGGTCATTTAAAATGGTGCCAGTCATTATTTAGTTAAATTGTCATACGATAGTTTTAAAAGCCTTCAAAGTATAAAAACGCATTTTGTCCAATCACATACTCGAAATGCCCGGATAAACCTCGTATAGGTCTACGCCTTGTAAAGCCCTAGATTCAATCTAAAACAGTAAGACTCAGACGCAATTGCTTCGGCATGTGACATATATGAGAGTAAAGAGTAAGATCCACCTTTCAAATGGTGTTAGTCATAATTTAGTTTAAATGTCATACGATAGTTTTAAAAGCTTTCAAAATATAAAATGCATTTTGTCCAATATACTCGAAATGCCTGGATATAAAACCCCGTATATATATATATATGCCAGTTTCAGCTGTAAATTCAATCTGAGACAGTAAGACCCAGACAACTTGCTACGGCATGTGACATATGAGAGTAAAAAGTAAGATACCACCTTTAAAATGTGTCAGTCATTATTTAGTTTAAATTTCATACGATAGGTTTTGAAAAATCCAAATCTATTCTTTTACCGTCAGCCGACACAATTACAACATTTTCTTTATCCTTTTCGATTTAGAGATACTTTAGGCCTCATTGTTGGTGGCTAACCTCCTCCTTATTGGTGGCTTAATAGTCGCCAGTTTCACTAATCCCAAGCCATCACATCCCAGGACTAGACTCAGCTCTAGGATGTAAGAAACGTTCTTTATTACAAATTTGAATTCCAATTGAGCTGAACAAGTGTAATATATTAAAACCTATCATAGACTACATCATTATGGTCATGTGTGAGTGTAATTATGGGTGTGTTATTTTGTGCTGCATTAATTATTACTACCAAGATGCTAAAGTACAGTCCCAGGTATTTATTTTTGTGTGGCATGATGATCTGAAAACTTGACTGGGGATTGAGATCACTGATCATGGGATCTGCTCGCTATTCATAAGGACCGCTATTTATAAAAGACCGCTATTCATTTAGTCACGCGTTATCATGGAAATCTGCACATGAATATGCAATTCGGACTGGTGTGACAGCGAGTGTGTTTCATGTTTGTGTATTGGTTGGGATCGCTCGAGTTGCGCATGCATCATACAGCTTGTAGCTAAGCAAGACGTGTAGGTCTACACTTGCAAGTGTACGCTTACATATTGCGCAACGCAGCTGTTTTGCTAAATTTTGCAAAATCACATAACTCTGCGTGTACATGTACGTCTTTTTCGTCAATTCTGACAAAATTGCATGAATAATGCCTAGATTTTGAGGGGCTGTATCTCTTGATAGAAACTTTGGTGAGTCTTGAAATTTGAAATGTATTATTCTGTTAACATTTGTTTTCAAAGATTCAACCATAATGGTGAAAAACGATCCCAAATTAAAAATTGAAAATTCGTTCAAACACCCTATGAATATGAATAGCGAGGTAAAGTTTCTATGGTTTGGTCGTTATTTAAGGGCTATTCATTTTGTCACGGCTCACGCATTATAGTAGGGGTATTTGTCCGAGAATGAGGATCGTCCGCATAAACTAGGATCGTCTTAGTACATGCGGACGGATGCGTCCGCTAAAATAAGGATTGTCCGCATTTTCGCAGATGTTTCATATTTCTGATCCGTGTGTTAGCGAAAAACGGATTCCGGGATGGATTTTCTTAATGCATTTTACAGAGACTTTTATGTTTCCTATAAATCCTTGGGAAGAGGGACAACCCATTAAAGTAGATTGTGAACCTGGGTTATTATCTTACACAGAATCCGTTAAGCCCCCCCCCCCCCCCCCTCCCAGGCTATGCATTTTATTGCCCAGACTAGATTGGGTTAAAAAGGAAGCGGGCAGGGACGCTGAACATAATTTTTGTATTATTTTGCCTTATTGTCAAAAGTAGCAAAAACAGGATTTGTTGTCAGCCACCTTGGTTCAAGTATAACAAATATTCATGAATGATTAATCTGTGTGTTGACTCACCACTCCGAAACTAGAACAACACTCCAATTTGTCTGTTATCTTGGTTTGAAAGTAATCTTTGTAATATATCTCAATATGTAGTTTATAATAATAATTCATCCAACTTTTACACAAGGTGTACCACAAGGTTCTATCCTAGGTCCTCTACTGTTTTTAATTTACATTAATGATCTTACACATTCTTATAAATACGACATTGTTACTATTATTTGTGACAAGTTCACAAGCACAAATCCCGCTTTTTCACACGGACCTGCCTTGCTGCCGACAGAGTCGGTCAAAAAAAAAAAAAAAAAAAAAAATCATTTTTTTTTAAATTCTTTTTTTAAATATATTTTTGTAATCGTTTAACCGAAAACCGTCCGGTTTTGACTGGCGGTTAAACAGAATTGGAGATATCCGTGATGTTACAGCACTAGTTCGAACACATTAAATGTGTAGTGTTCCATACACCTCATTCTTGTTTGGGTCAACAAGCTCTCAGAACATCCAAGATAGCTTATATCAGCATTTCCTTCTTGCCCGGTAAATGACATGGACATGCATATTTTAAGTGACCTCGCACCTGCGATAGACATTCGTAGTTTCCATGGTTAGTTTTTCTGAGACGTCAAATCATTGTGTTCCATAGCCTTGTGTTTTTACCCAGATGCGTAATTTTTCGCCACTCTTCCATTTGTACTCAATAGAGACGCACATTATTACGGGACAGTCAATGCATCACCGCTCCATACTTATTTTGTAGCGTACGACTTTCGCATCTTTTTAATTTTTTCGCGATTTAAATCGTCTGCGATCGGATTTCGTCTTCCGTGGACTGTATACGGCAAAGCTTTATTTATTTCACTCGCCAAGTAGGCTATTTTCTTCAGTTCCATGCTTGTGCTAGCCAGAGGCGGTCATTTTTTTTACTTGACACATTGCATTGTTTGTACATAGATAGATACAGGCATTTTCGTCAAAGCCTCCTACTTTAGTCTATAGTCTTGCCGTGTTGTATATTTTTTTGGATCGATTGGTACAGCTTGCTGGTTTTAAGATGGAATTGAACATATTCGTGTACAGTAAGCCGGTAAATACATGTAAGTAATGACAATTTTTATATATTTTATATAAGAAACATTGTAAATTCCCTTGTCTGATTTATGAATAACATAATTAGATCTATTAAAATAAAGAAAACCAGCCATAACCAGGGGAAACATTTTACCAGATCCTGGCGAAATAGCTACATGTAGTACATGTATAACAGTTCAATCATTGCCCCCACCACTATAATGTAATTATAAGATTTGCAAAAAGGAGACGGCAGGTTTCATTTATTGGTCTATGGGTAATCTTGAGCTTGAATCACTGTTCTTTACTTATGTTTACAAAAGCTTGGAAACCACACTGATCATAATGGACTCTTTTATATCCTTGCAGCTCAAGCAGCACCATGAGACAGAAGCGCAAACCCTCCTCTACTCAACAGCTTGACCCGGACAAGAGGCAGTGCCTGTCATGGGACATGTACGATGCAGTAAACAGTGGTTCCAGCGAGGCTGGTCCAAGCACTAGCCAAACAGATGAAGGCATAGAGCCGGATGTGGACCTTTGTGTTATTGACCTTATAGAAGATGGTCCTCACGAGGTACCAGATTCTTCGTCGGATGAGGAAGTTATCGACTTGACAGGAGACGATGACCTCCAGGAGCTGGCCCTATATGTGGATCCTATTTTGGAGGATGTAGTTCATACAGAGCCGAACGATGTCCTCTACCAATTCAAGGTGTCAAAGTCCAAGTATTTGATTCTAGAAAGAGCTGCGGACTACCGGGTCAAGGTTCACCTGGACCAACCTTCAGAGAGGGATCGGGTAGGTCTTCTGTGCACCTTGAAGATGAGGCTGTTGCCCGTCGCGCCCGCTATCGTGAGTCAGCCCAACCCCCAACTCCCGACAGATGGATGCAGCACCCTTTTACTGCGAGAGGCACCTGGTTATGATTTCCTTGTGTTTCCGGACCAACAGATCAATTCGTTGAGTCGGCTCCAATTTAGCAGGAAGGATCTTCTCTTGGGACGTGGTAGCCTTCTGGCGTTCTCCATAGAGATGGAGAGAAGGCCAAGCACCTCTTGCCTTGAGAGCTTCCAAGAACTCGCCAGACTCTACCAAGGGAAGCTGCTCTGGCTCTGTCTTCGTGACTACGATCCCGCATCCGGGTGTGCCTCGATGGATGCTTGGTTACTTTCTGGCATCGTGTCTCAGCCAGCTTTAAATGGAGCTCAATTTCCCTCCAGAAAACAGTACCTTGAATATGTCCCCCACTTGATGAACTGGTATCATGGATTCCCGCTACCAGGTGAATGTGGTGATGTGACACATCCTATGGGCTTCAATTTGTGTTTGGAGTCTCAGGGGCATTAATTTGTATCATTGTACACAGAAATTTGATGCCCATGTGGCTCCAAACAGACAAAATTTAAAAACATTTAGGCTTCGGTTGCAATGGGATTTCATGTTATAATAGGATTAGGAGAAGGATGAAGGTTAGATATTTGGTTAGGTTTGGGTTTTTAGGATTTCGGTAAGTGTTAAAAGTTTTCTCAAGTTAAGTGCGGAGCAATTGCCACTGAAGCATTTGTCATAATAATATCACATTACATAACATCTCTATGCGCTTCCAAAAAGCTTTGGAAAATAGTACCCTAGCTTAAGCTCTGGCAGCCATAATCAACACACAGTGCATTTCAAGGAATTATCCCACCAGGTACCCATTTACCTAAACGGGGTCGAGTGTGGCAAATGAATTGATATCTTACAACTTGTAAGTTCTGTCATTTCTTTTGCTTTTGTATTCCGGTCAAAACCTCTCAGATCAAATTCTTTTTGTTGTTGTCATGTGAGTATCTGAAATGTACACTTCAATCGCCATCCCCCTCAAACTTTTGCATAAAATTCTGAACTTGGAAACTGAAGTATTATATGCTGTACAATGTTTGAGGCTTTTAATAGGAGTGTGTTTAAAGCGACTCACCACTCAACTATTTTCTTTTTACATTCCACTAATAGCTCGTAAAAAATACAAGGCCCACAAGAGGTACGACTACACAGCCCTCTTTGACAAGGTGCGTCAGTATCACCAGACCCAGGAGGTGGTGGAGACGATCAGTGTCCAGCACCCAATCCTTGTCCCGACCCTGCGGCCTTACCAGCGTGATGCGGTCTGTTGGATGGTCAAGAAGGAAAAAGTGAAACAAAATGGTGAGTAATGCAGGGAAAAAAATACACAGGGGCTTGGGGCAAAGTAGCCCCCGAAATGCCCTAAAGAGCCCCTGAAAGTCGTAAAAAGAGCCCCACAAAATTTCCATAGAGTTCAATTAATTTCATGCAAGCAAGCTAGAAAAGTAGCCCCCCCCCCCCCCCATTTTTTAAATATTTCCCCCCTGATATGTCAGACATGGCTTGTACACTGTAGTCTGGCTCCGGCTCTTATTTATTTGACTGAACTGCTCACTCAATACATCCCTACCAAAAACCTTGGGTCTTCCCAAAAGTCTCTCCTTACTATCCCTCAAATGCGTAAAAAGTTTTATGGGTCATGGATTTATCTGGTTGCATCAGCAGAGCTACAGGTATGGAATAAATTATAAGAATCTTAAAAAAAATTGTGATAACATTCAAAACTTCAAAACATGTCCTAAAACATTTCTTTTTATAAATAATTTTCAGTGTTTACTGATGACTTAAGAAAGTATGCTGAGTGTATCTCACTCTTCTCTATTCTTTTCTTTCCTTCTCTCACAGTCCATACTGAAGGGACATATTTGTGATATACGCCCTATACGAATGGCATATTATTATCATTGAATTTGGTCTATGTATTACAATACAATATAACAGTTACACTCGGGATATACATGTATAGATGTGGTCATGTATATTGTATCCATGGAGACATGGTAGACCTTAGAGTCTAATGTTTACTTTCAGTTTCTTATTGGGTAATCCTAACTGATTTTTGAAAAGCTATGAATGGATTTAATTCCCTTTCATATTATGGTCTGTAGTTGTTTGGATATTTTTTTATACAGTAACCCTCAAATCTGGGAATTCATGATAAACAATTTGACAATATGTCCTTCAAACAAGTCGGGTGTCTTTGACCAACAACTGTGATAGTTTGAGACCTGTTCTGATTCTGGTTAGATAGATATAAGTGAAGTAATTTTTCAGTGTATTATGAACCAGTATATTAATTCAGTGCAGGTACATTTTAATGTTAGTACAATGTGAAAAGTAATATAGTTTTGGTAATTGCAAAATGTACATTAATATATATATTTTTTCTTCTTCACAAAAAAAATCTGTGTGTGTTGACAGAGAAAGGCCAGCTGCACATTCTTTGGAGGCTGTTCAAGACAGTTGATGACAAGACCCTCTACTATAATCCAAACAGTGGCGAGTGAGTTCTGTTTTTAATTTTAGAATGAATATATTAGTTCCATCAGAAATGTGTAGAATAAACAAGGCTTGTGTGTTACTACCAAATATCAATGTAGTTTGCAGTAAATTAGATAATGAGTAGTTATCAGTCCATCAACAATTAAAGAAAAGAACACGGCTTGTATGTGCACAAGGGTAAACATTGTAACAAGATTCGGATGGAAAGGAAGGAAGGGAGGGAAACTTGTAGACAGCAACATATATAGAGATGGCTTCTGTTAAGTATTCATGTACTCGCATGCACCATGTTTTAAAAATCATAATGAAGTGAGGAGTAAGAGATAAGACAGATAGATGTAGGGTGTGTTTATCATCCCTTTCTGGCCTAGATTCGGCGTTTTCAAACGTGTTTCGGGCAAATTTGCATGGTGATAAACGCAAGCGTGTTTTCAATCGTCTTTAGATATGGGTATATTAGAACGCCGAAAAAAGTGCGTTTTGAATGTGAGTATGAGCCAAAATCACGTTTCTGAGAGATGATAAACGCAAAGCTGTTTAGAAAGACACATACATATCGGATCTTCCCAGGCTAACTTCCGGTTCAGAGAAAAAGCGTGTGCCATGTGCTGTGTCATGTTGTTGTACAAGCATGCCTGCATGCGTACTCGTTCATTTTTAATTGTTCATTGTTTATGTATTATGCAATTATGCTTTAACTATTGTATTGTCATCGCGTGCACTAGTAGTTAGATCGAAAAAAATGAATAACAAAAAAGTAGTTGACGTCCAAGCAATTCTCTGGTTACGGGGTCAAACAGCGCAAAGCAGTTGCGCAGAGACAAGACCTTTATTTCGAATCATGATGAGTTGATAAACGCGACATCCCTCAAATCACGTTTGTATAGTGGGGTACGATATGTATGTGTAGAAACGCTGAGTGGCAAAATATATAAACGCACCCGTAGACTACTGCAGAGCCTTCATCTACTCATTAACCCCACTCAGCTTTTGAAAATCATTAAAGGTAAAGACCAGTTATGGTCATGCGATTGCATTGTGAAAGAAACGTTGTGGAATCGATCAGAAAAGGTTGATCATCTAGCATCTAGCATCTGCAAGGTTCTGGAATCATCAAAATGATAAGAAATTTGGCCCATTCTTCGTAAAGTTACAAGCACTATACACAGAAAGATGTATATGAGACTACCCTATATCTCTCACAGACCATGAGAGAAACAAATTTACCAAATATATGAATTAGTAGGTGGTTTCCGGCAAATTTTGTATCATCATGTATTAGTCAAAACATATTCTTTCACATGATTGGTAATGAGAGCTTCCATTTCATTTTTTGAAATTGGGGCGTTTCCAATGCTGGTCTTTACCTTTAACATTATCTTTTTTTGTATTGTTTTGTTTACCTTGCAGAATAACAGACCGGAGACAGGAGATGCCCGAGGCCTTTCCTGGAGGCATCCTGGCCGACGAGATGGGGCTGGGGAAGACGGTGGAAGTCCTGGCCATGGTCCTAGCTCACCCAAGATGGGTCAAAGACCACTCCCAGGACACAGCTATCTCGTCCTGTACACAAGATAAACTGCCAGATGGTGCCGTTTCCAAAGACCACTCCCAGATGAACATGGACACCTCATCCTGTACACAAAATAAACTGCCAAACAGTGCCGTTTCCAAAGACCACTCCTTGAACATGGACACCTCATCCTCCACGCAGGACAAACTACCAGAGAGTGCAGGAACTGATGTTGCCACTCCTGCAGAGGGAGAACAGTTGGAGTGTAAGACCTCAGGGACATTGGTTTCATCTAAGAATGTCACCATGCCTGAAGCACAAAGTGATGTAGAGGTGGAGGTATCAGATATATCAGATTTCAACAGAATAAATGGAAGCGGCTTCCAAGGAGGAACTGGTACTATGGTGGCAGGTGACAGCATGTCGTCAGTTCTGGTACATGGAACTGCAATGGAGAGCAATGAAACAGAAACTGTCCTTGATAAAAAACCAGTTAACCTCCTCGGACAAGAAGTCTCAGAAGGCAGTAGTTCGTGTACTTCACAAAACAATGAGAATATTACATGCAACAGGAAAGAGGAAACAATGTCATTAATTCAAGTACATGGGACTGAAATGAAAAACACCGCTGTAAAGGTAGAATCAAGAACTGAATCAGAAAGGAATCTCAAGAACGTTGTAGAGCAAGAGCCCCAAGACAACAAATCACTCTCAGGACCTGATGTGCAATATGCTAGCCAAGCAACTAAACAAAGTAACAGTACTGCTCAAAACTCAAAAGACAAAGATTCCTTTCATTTACAAGGAAAAGAAGTAAAGTATTTGAAAGTGACTGAAGACGAAGAAGCCCCTCCAGGTGCAAATGAAAGCCATATGGAATCAGCAATAGAAAATGAGAAAGAAGCCACACAAGAAAGGTAAATTTTAATTGTACAGTCATGTACATGTACATGTGTTACACTTTGATAACATAACACCTTGTAGAAATTGTTGACTCTTTAAAGAATTCTTTATCCTAAAAAGGCGTCAGAAAGAATACCACACACGGAACAGTATAGGGTAGTATTGATCATTTGATTAAAAGCATTTGGTTTTATGGCATCTGCATCTAGTAGCAAATCATCTTATCTTAGGGTAGATTTTATGGTCGAACTCTGCTCTCTTTTAAAGGAAGGTATTAATTCTGTCTTTGAAACAGAATATTATATTCATGTGTAAATTACACTACCTTGTATTGTGGTTGTTAATAGTTATCTCACTATCAGCCATTAAGGTGCATTGTACAAACATGGAAGTAATAGAATGTTTTTATAAATTGTACACATTCTACCAGTACTTTTATGTGTATTTTATATTTATTTTATTTACCTTCTAACTGTACTTTTGTTTTTTATCCATCCGTAGAGAGAAACCCAAAGTCTTTCAGTGTACATGTGGTCGGAATGAGCGGAATATTTGCCAACCCACGTGTGTGCAGTGCCTTAGATGTCGCTCCTGGCTTCATGCTGCATGCATTGGCTTTGATATTCACATGCCAGACACACCCAGTCAGGACCTGCAATTCTGGTGCCCTAACTGTTTTCCCAAAGTGGTAAGTGGAAGATTTTTGGAACTAAAAATGTTTGAGAGTGTTTGTAGAATTTGATATACAGTCAAACCTGCTTTAGTAACCCCCTGTCTACAAAGACCACCTGTCTACAAAGGCCATATGTTTTGCTTTTCTTGAAAATGGTTCCTCATTGAATCATGTACTAAAGGAACCTGTGTACAAAGACCACCTGTCTACAAAGGCCACTTTTTATGTTTCCCTTCCTTGGGCGGTTGCTTTAGACAGGTTTGACTGTAATTGATTGCAATGGGTTAATGAGAGACATGCATTTTTCATACCATGTACATATATGCCTACTGTCATTGACAGGGCTTTAAATCATCTTTCCCTAAATGATTGTTTTGGCGGTTAAAACTTAAAAGGAAAATCATACAAATGCTTGCTCTACAGAGGTTATATTGTGGAAACTTTGCTTTAATGAGCTTTTTTACGCTGTAGTGTATTTTCAATTCCAAATTATACCAGAAGAGACATTTGAACCCATAAATATGCCAGGGAAACAAAAATTGCCCCATATATGCAGGTGCTCTTAATGTTCATGTTTTAAAAGCACAGTAGGAAACACAGCTCCAGGATGTTCCTTCTGTTCATGTAGTTGGAAATATTTTCATCAATCTTATATCGCTTTTTTGGTGTGACTCAGAGTTGCCATAAATGAAAGGTGAGTAGTGTACATTTTCTCACATGGAATTGAATTACTTCTTTACAGCCACCGTTGGTTTCCGGTGCGACGTTGATCATTTCACCTGCCTCAATATGTCACCAGTGGGTGGATGAGATTAACAGACATATCAACTCATCTACTCTCAAAGTTGTGGTAAGTAGCTAGTCAGACTAAGCCAGATTGAGAAGGCTTGATAAGTTAGTACTGTCAAACCTGTCTACAATGGCCGTGCAAGGGAAACAGAAAACGTGGCCTCTGTAGACAGGTGGCCTTTAAACTGTAGAGAGGTGGCCACTGAGACAGGTATAACTGTAGTAGAGCTGGGACCCATTTCACAAAGCCTTTTTTCAATGACAAATGACAAAAATTAGTGACAAATCTGCTGATAGCCAATCAGAAGCAAGGATTTCAGTAGCTTACTGTCATTTGTCACTGATGACAAGTTTTGTGAAACAGGCCCCAGTACTCTTGTAATCAGGGGTCCAAGGTTAGAAACCTAGTGGATATGCTAGTGCTTTTCAGTGAGGCATTCATTTCTCAATTACCAAGTCCCTGGGATAGGTGTTGTAGCTATAGGTCAGGTAAAATTCATAAATCACCAATTTGTTTTCTATTGAGTTGCTCTATCAGATACCCCAAGAACATGATTGAGATACATGTGATGAAATAAAATCGTAATTGGTTTTTTTCCCCACCCTCGTTTTATATGTTGTGTGTGTGTGTGTGCCATTTTCAACGGCAAATTGCCCATTCTCTCCTGTTAAGTATCCTACAAGCATCTCACATTGGCAATTTGGGGATGTTCATTGGTTGATCGAACACATCAGTCATGACAAAATCATGCACATTCAACCAATGATCAAGGTAGAGATTTGTACAAAAAAGTAATTCTATATAACATATACATGTACAAAAGCTAGTCTACTACTCTCGTGATACAACTTGTATGTGATAAATGTAGCCAAGAAAAATGTGTGTTGTTTTGGATGAAGTAGCGTTAGTCATAAAATACAGTTTTTAATAATCTTGACTATTTCGTCATGAAGGCCGCCATTCTAGTCAAGCATCGGAGAGAGATTCTAGAGATTGCGGTCTCTTGCACAAAAACATTTTGATGTGAAGTTATTATTGCTTGTATATTTTGTATTTTACCTTACGTTATATGTTCTTTGTTATTCAGTTATTATATTTGGAAAAATCAAATCATATTTCATTTCCCAGGTATATGAGGGTGTGAAGAAGCAGGGCTACGTCCAACCTCGCACCCTTGCAGAGTGTGACATAGTCATCACAACCTACAACACACTCCGGGTGGAGCTAGACTATGCCAATCTCTCTCAACCAGGTACCACACCTCTAATAATAATAATTCTGCTTTTATACAGTAGGCTTGCGGTGCACCATGTGAGTGAGAGAGAGAGAGAGGATTGAAGAGTCCTGAAAAGGACTCTCGGTAATCTTTCTTAAGGGTGTGTAGTCCTGAAAAGGACTGTTTGTGTAGTCTTGAAAAAGACTGTTGGTTATCTTTCTTAGCTTATAGTTCTAAGAAGAACTATAGTGCTTGGAGAGGATGAGTGGCGCTTAATGGCGCTTATATGAGCTTAATACATCCATGGTGTCTCTAAGCACTTTACAGATATACTATTACCCCGGTCATTGGATTCAATACTTGCCCGCACACAATGTGTGCACAATTTCCACTCCCTGGGGATCATTCTAGCCAGGCGTTACTTGACGCTTAGAACTGTTTGACCAACAATGATGGTCGCATCCTACCGGGTACCCATTTAACACCTGGGTGGAGAGTAACAAGTGCAGATTAATATCTTGCCAAAGGATATTAGTGCCGTGTCGGGATTCAAACCCTCGACCTTCGCATCTCCAGTAGTAAGGTTGTTGATATTGTTTACTGTTTCAGGATGTCATCACTGCATTTCATATTCATTCAGTGCGACTTCACTGAAGCGATAACAGCTATTCAAATGAAATGGTAAAGACATACCTTACAAATAAATACAAAAATCCATAGAGAGACTGTTAAGTATATGTGGAAGGGAGCACGGAAGATAAAACTTATTATTAATATAGGTACAGTGTAAAAACATTGCATGTTTTAATATTAATTGAAAATTGAATCGACCGCAGTATTCACGTGCCAGCAACATATGCAAAACCGAAGCATGAGGAGAACTTTGGTCTATTTCGCTGACCGTTAATCAAGTCCATTCGTGTACGTGCAGTTATCCAAAAGAAGTCGTAGATGGCTTTAACCAGTATTTGCCATGCTACACCCCCTTTAAGTATGTAGTGTTGGTTATTTTACCTGACTGCTAAGAAAGCATAAATACTTGTTGGTAAATGCTCTACAAAGCCTGTAAAATACAAATCAATCTTTACAGGCACTGAGGGTCGTAGTCTTCGCCATGGTAAGCGGTACCAGACCACACCCAGCCCTCTACCCTGTGTAGAATGGTGGAGAATATGCCTGGATGAGGCACAGATGATCGAGAGCACTACAGCAAAGGTGAGACTTCAAGATAAATAATTACTAGCAATGGCATTGCAAATTATCATTTGTTGAAATACTGATGTACAAAGTCTGTTGATGTCCCAAATTATTAGTATTATCAACAAAACTCAAGCTTGATCAGTGTGACCATCAGGTCTTTGCTCTTAGTATAACTGAAGGCAGTATGCATGTGTACCATTACACAGGGGTTTCCTTCTGAGTGCAGTGGATTCTAAATGTGCAATGGTGATGACTGTCCTCCCCATGGTGTTCCATTTAATGTTTCCCACTGTAAACTAGCTTACTTTAGTCGTCCAACTGGGTTTTCTCAAATTTGATTTGACAGGCAGAAGCTTTATAGCCATTTTCCTCCTTACGAATGCATTATCCTTGACCTGCTCACAGCCAATAGGCCATTTCGTAGTTAGCACATGGGTAAAAAGACCCCAAATATCCACAGATCTTTTACTCATAGAGAAGTCCCACTTTGTGTATTTTAGAATAATCAATGCCAAAGTTGTGTATGTGCTTCATGAAAAGCTTTTGTTTGCCCTCTTGTATCATAAGAATGTACTGTAGGTGCACACATGAATAATGATTACATAACATGAGTACGTATTTCTGTCGGTGGATTTTACAATTTTATCAGAAATGACCTTTATCTGCCCATGTGCAGATAGTATTTACGAAAAGGCTAATATTATTTAATAATGCTTCATAACTTCATTTGATAATTTAAGATTACATACATGTTGTCATGTATATCATTGACCTGTTGTTATCTTTCTATCCAGTCTGCTAAGATGGCTAACAGATTGTCTGCAAGGAACAGATGGTGTGTGACAGGAACTCCCATACAGAAGAGCCTTGATGGTGAGTGAGATGATTACTGCTTTGCCAGTCCCCACTGAGTTGAATGATTTTGTTGGTGTCCTCTTTTGTCTTTATAGTGTTGTTTAGAAATTGTACAGTACTTTCATAATTTAGATGTCCTTTTGTTTGTTGGACTCAATAATTGTCAATTATGTGAATCTTACTAGTGGCAGCGATTTGGAAAAATAATGTCTGGTGTCTGTATATTCATTAGAAAAGAAAGAAGTAGAACCATGTAGTTGTAAAACACACATTAGCAGTGCTTTTTGCTGACCTGATGCATCGAGCCATGCTTCCTTTCTTGGGTGCCATTATATGTTAGTTGGAATTAAATGCTCAATAAATTATGTGCTTACTTCTCTTTTTCGATATTACACTAGCACAATTCCTACTTTTGTCAACATTGGTTGTATAGATCCGCTTCATCTGTGTTCACTTTCCCCATTGTAGATCTGTATGGCCTGTTCCTGTTTCTTGGTGTTGAGCCTTACTGGGTTAAGGACTGGTGGGACCTACTCCTCAGCATCCCTTACAGCCAAGGGAACCGAGAACCACTCCAGAAGGCACTCTGCAAGATCTTCTGGCGCTCCGCAAAGAGGGATGTCATAGACCAGGTACGCCAATTATTTTTCTCCCACTAAAGCTTTGATTAGACACAAGGTATATGTAAGTTGCAGAGCTGCCAATTAGCTTCTTCTTTCGTGTCCATGATCTGATCTCAAATGTTCTGCCAGGCTCTTGCACACTGAAGAGCCTTCTCATTTGCTGCCACTACGTCTTCCAGGAAGCATTGGTCATCTAGGAGTGGGCATCTTAATAAGTGTGACAAAGATTACACGGATGTTCCACACTCCACTTTTGCTTTTGGTTGATTATTACTGTAAAAATCCACTTATTTTGTATCCTTAAATTCAGTCCTCTCAAGTTCACTACTCTGCATCACTCAGTTCTAGGCCTATGTTTAATCAAAATGATGCCAGAGTGGACTTCCCTTCAATACAATCACCATCTGTGCCCCAATCTTAGATTTGTTTGGGAATGTTTGGGATGTGATATGATAAAATTTACTTCTGTTGTCGTTCTATAGATAGCACTCCCACCTCAGAGGGAGAAAATCCACTTGTTGAATTTGATTTCTCAGTTGTTCTGTACATGATATCCATTTATAAACCAATTTACTTCTGTTGATACATGTATATAGATAGCACTCCCACCTCAGAGGGAGGAAATCCACTGGTTGGATTTCTCACCTGTAGAGACATACTTCTACAAGAGGAAGCATGAGGAGTGCTCGATCAACTTCACATCTGTGAGTATATAATTATATTTTAAATCTTTAGATTAATCATGTAATATATTGTATAATTGATTGGTTTAAAGCTCAAAGAGAATTTGTTATTATGCGATATATAAAAATGGCTTTATTATTATTATTATTATTATATATATATATATATATATTTTGTTGTTGAAGTGATGGAAATTACAACTGTCTTTTTAATCCTTTGTAATCATATTCTCCTCATTTGGGACCAATGGTAAACAATTACCTGACAACATTTTTGTTACAATTGTCTTCCCAGCCAATTTTGATCATTCATATTTGAATTTTCTTCATGCAATATGTATGATCTTTGATGTTTGATCGGGTATCTTTGAATGTATGAAACAGTTAACTCGCTCTATACGGTGTGAGTCAAAAAAATTACACTCAGAAAATTGTCATTTATTTTAAAAGTCAATTATGAACGAGAAGTTATCATACATGTTTTGAAAGAGTGTTATATCCCAAATAGTTTGGTATCATTTTTGTGTGGTATGTGTTCGCGCTTGGATGAACAAGAGGCATTGTTTGAGAGATTGCAAATATTGACTTGGGCAAAAGTATTAAAGTAAGAGAATTAATTTCTAGGTGTAAACTTTTTTTGACTCACACAACTTTTTTATGGTATATCTCATTGCTTTTTCTTTCTGTAAATCAGAACTCTCGCAAGACCAGTGTCCTTCCTGAAACCAAGCTGTCCACCCTGGACAGGCAGTCACTTCAGAGTGTAAGTAAATTCTTAGCTTGACATTTTGGCTTCCGAGTATTGATGCTGTAAAACATTCTATAGTTTCCCTTTTTATTCAAGAAAATACAATTTATTTATTATTTCTTGTCCTCTCTGGGTATTTATATCCCCCACTTTCTGTATGGAATGTTGAAGTTCATTTCATTATTCTCGCTGAAAGTATATTACATCAGTATTGGTATATTTAAAGATGAAGTTGAGTTTGGGTCATTTGATAACCTTCTTAAAGAATCCTCTCAGTCCTATCCCCTTTATAGTGGTCCAAGGGGATTTTCGTCCCAGCTCTACTTGTAATTACTTGTAGAATGTCGTAGTCGAGTGGTTTAAACACTTGACTTGAAATTTAAAGGTTGTATTTCGATACCCGATAGGCACTAACATCCTTTGGCAAGGCATTATTCTTCATTTGCCACACTCGACTCAGGTGAGGTAAATGAGTACCTGGCAGGAATTAATTCCTTGAAATGCTAGAGCGCTGTAATGGCAGCTAGGCTAAAGCCAGGGTAATAATTACCGGTAGTGCGCCTCGGAATAGAATTTCTAGATAGACGGCACTATAGAAATGCCTTTTATTTTTATTATTATTAATTCCTCGACCCCTCCCCCTTCCCCCCTCAGCTCCTGGGTCCCCTCCTGAGGGTGCGCCAGGCCTGCTGTCATCCCCACGTGGTCCGGGGTGAGTTCACCACCCTGCAGAAGAAGAAGCAGCTGAGCATGGAGGATCTCCTCAAGACCATGATCGCTAAGGCTGAGGTTGAGAGCGATGGGGCGCATCGTCAGCTGGTCTGTGCCATGAATGCACTGGCGGCTGTACACTGCATCAAGAATGAGGTATTATAGAAGTTTCCCAGAGAATATTTTGTATACAAAAAATTATTATTGTGACCTTAAAGCCCCAGTGCACTACTTATAGCTACTTGCGCCCTCTATACAGTCAACAATGCCTAAGCAGTACCTGTTGATCCCCCATGATGCCCTTTTTCTTATGTTAATCGAGAGCTGATTTGATGAGATAACCACCTGCCAGTGACCTTGCAGGGAGGTCTAATCCCTCCATGCCAAACTAGTGCAGAGGGGGTTTAACTTTTTGCATATTGTTCAGGACAATCCAAGGCAATGAAGTGTACCTAAAGGAAATATTTCATGTTGTGATTCTATTTAATTCTAACATTTTACAAAATGGAATTTTTTGCAATCTTGATCACTGGCGAAGTTTCAATTACACTTATGCATCGGTAGTCCATCATGTTTTTTTTTTTAACAACACAATGGAATGAATAAGCCTACATTTGGATAGCGCTCTTACTCTGAAGGCAATTGTTATTATTTTTTATCATCTATATATTTGTAAAGCGCTTAGAGACATTTGTATTAAGCGCTATGTAAAAGCTAAAAATTATTATTATTATTATTATTATTATTATTTGCAATTTATGAAATATCACAAGTTATATTGACATGAAAGTCATACAAAGTACAAGAAAACCTCATATATACAGTACAAGTAAACCTTGATACAATACAGAGGAAATCAACAGACAGTATTTGACAAAGCTGTATTGATTGTCCCCCAGAAGACTGTATCAGCAATTATGTTGTCTTCAATGCATCAATGCATAGAGGTGTCGTGGTCGAGTGGATATGTCACCGTACTGCGGATCACTCCTGCCACGGCACTAATGTCCTTTGGCAAGACATTGATCTACATTTGCCACTCTCCACCTAGGTGTTAAATTGGTACCCGGTAGAATGCGAAAGTTAATGTGGTTAGATGAGCAAGTGTGCGCTTGTAAAAAATGACGCCTGGATGGAATGCTCCCCAGAAAGTAGAGAATGTGCATACATTGTGTGCGATTAAGCCTGCATTCGATGACCGGGGTAATAGTATATATCTGTAAAGCGCTTTGAGAGGGCCTGCAGTCCTGAAAATCGCTATATAAGAACAAACTATTTTTATTACATTGTAGCTCCCAGAAGCCGTTGCCTTGTATCGGGAGGCTCTGAAGTCAGCCGAGGAACACAAAGACCACATCAAGACAGACAAGCTCCAGATGATGCATGCTATTCATAACCTCAACGAGATACTCAAGGACAGACCAGAGGTCGTTGAACCCAGCCCGGAGGATGGTGACCTCGCGCAAAGGGTGAGGCATGACACTGGAATGTAGGGATGTTAACATGATCATGATCGAGTGTGGAATTGTTGATGTTATTATCATAATCATCATCATCATCATCCTCATCATCATAATCATCATCATAATCATCATCATCACCCTCATCATTATCATCACATTATCATCATCATTATCATCATCATCATCATCATCATCATCATCATCATCGTTATCATCATCACCCTCATCATCGTCATTGTCATCACAATATCATCATCATTATCACCATCGTCATCATCACCATCATCACCACCATCATCATCATCATCGTCATCATCATCATCATCATCACCATCACCATCACCATCATCATCATCATCACCATCATCATCATCATTATCAACATCATCATCATTACAATCATATTCATATTCATCATCCTCATCTTGTCCTATCTGTACATGTTGCCTAACATAACCCAGCAGTTCATTCACTGCCACACATCAAGATTGGCTAGGATATGTGCCTGCAAACTGAATGTGTTATTTGCCAGAGCAAATGGTCAGTCAGCTCTGCATCACCCATTTGGTGATATCATGTTTACATATTCTTCTTATTCATTTTGTAATTTTTACTCTACCGGTAGATGGTGTTTCTAAGAGACCAGTACTTGCAGAAAACAGCGTACCTTGTCACCAGTAGCCTATATACACTGCAGCCAATCAGAGACAAGGTTTTGGAGCAGCAAGAGAAGGTATACACTGTTAACCCATTGCTTACTGAAAACAGATTTGATTTTATTTATTTCTGTTTGATATTAATTTTCTTTTGCATTTTTACAAATATATAACAAACAAAATATTGCAAATGTTACACATTTCATACTTGTATGGAATGAGAAAATTCAGGCGACATTTAGAACCCATAGCAGTTTAGTACCTCTGTTTAGTTACCTTTTATTTTTATCTGCTGATCCAGAATGATCTGAAATAATTTTTTTACACAAGCAGAAAATGCAAAATTTTCTTGATAATTTGAGTCAATTTCTGTTACAGTGGATTGTGCCCTTCATGAATGAGAGCAATTCAACAACAACAAATCATTGAACTCTCTAAATTGGCAACGCAGAATAAAATTTATAATGACTGTTTTGTTTGTACAATTTGGCAATGTCTTTTTGAATATTTTAGTTTTCATTAACACTGGTTATTCATTCGATAAACTTTTTTTATTTCTTGAACTATGAAAGAGTGGAAGTACAAAAAGTGGTGCCAATTTGAGGAGATAAAACTGATTCATTTAGACATTTAAAAATCTCTGAACTGCTATGGGAAAAGGAATCCACTCAGCTGTGATGAGTGCTTTACATTGTACAAAATGATCCCTAAAGTGTAAAGTGTATGTGACAATGTGAATGCATGTTTTCACATTCTTAAAACTGTTACATGTAGTTGAATAGAAAAAGAATTTAGCAAGCCTGCAAGGTGAATAGGTTTCGTTGCCAACCAATACAGGAACTATTTAGGGGTAAATTAGTTCTTTAAACAGGTGTGATCTTTTGTGTGGTGAATGAAAGGAATTTTGGGCAGTGCATAGAGAGCCTAATTACTCTTAGATCTTGTGAGACACAGATGTGTGCTAGCTGTGTGGTGAGGAGATGTTAGGAACGTAGTAGGGGACAGTTACAAGCCATGTGTTGTGTAGGCTTAGTAAATGCTGTACACTGGCAAGTCCCATGCACCTCATGTCATGGGTGCAAAGACTTTGTCAGCCCTCACCTTTATTTACTTTACAGTTTTGACATCTGAACTGTAAGTTATATTACATTTGTTGTATTTTTTTTGTTGTAGAAATTAGTTGAAACTATAAATCTTAATTGTAGTTCGATACATAGCAGTGAAGCAGTCCTCTTACATGTCTCAACGTACATACACAATTTTGTGTTGATCAGACCTTTCATGGTCAAGATCTTGGGGGGGGGGGGGGGTCATTTGGACCCCTTGGCACCTGTAAGCTTTCAAATCCCCCCCCCCCCCTCCAGATTCCAGCTGTTCCACCAGATTAATTATTGAACATTCATTTTACAGGTCATGGACACCAATGTTGTTGTCATTTTTATTATTATTAACATTTTATTTTTTGTTTTGTGTTTTGTTAATTTGTTTAGATTCCACCTGGTCCTGCATGGTATCTAGACGGCATACAATGGGCCATATACCAGGGACTAGGCCCGGACCTTGTGGACAGACTCAAGACTGAACTTGAGGCCAAGAGTGAAGTTATGGGACTAGCTGATAAGTAAGCCTAATACTATGAAGAATCAATTACCAGGCAGTTGTATCAATGTTGTACATATTTTTGGTGCAGTAGACTAATTTTGAAATCAGTAAAATTCAAACTGTGTAGACTTATTGGGATTAACTGCAGCCTCTAATCATGTGAAAATTATGTGAACAATTAATTTGTTTTTTAAATATCTGTATGAAATGCTTGATCCCAGTATCCTGTCTGATTTTCTGTGGAGGCATGACGAAAACAGTCCATTTAAACTTCACCCCACTTTGGACCCGAAAGTGGGGTGCATTTTGGTGGTAAGCTCACCACAGAGCAAGAGAGAGGTAGAGTCCCTAATCTGCAGTATAAACAAACTTTGCCAGGACATCGCCAGCCCAACCTTGATAAGTACTGCTTGGAACTCCTCCATGATGTTCTAGTCTTATTCGCAGTCTCATATAGGTTCGGATTATGTCCATTCTCATAGCTACCGGTATACATGGGAGATGCCAGTTTCATCTTCCTTGCTTCACTTTATATCAGGAACTTCCTGGTTATAATTATGTTCCTTTCAAGTTTCATCATAATTGTCTAGTTCGATATAGTACATGGACACAATTAAATATGATATTGTCTAAAATTGTCAAAAATATCTTAACATCGAAATGATTTCTGGTCATGTTTAACTATTTTAATTGAAGCCTCTAATACTTTTATGAGGATGACATAGTCTGCAATAAACTTGACAAACATTATCATCCATACTATATGTCGTAGTTTATAACAATAATTACTCATGAACCTCACACTACAAGGACAACATTCATCCAGATTCTGAGATTGCTCATTCTCACGAAGCTTGGTGTACGCGAAGATATCGGGAAAGAAAGCGGTCTGTAATACCAGACACGCAAGTGGGGTATTTCGGTCCCCGTTCACCGAAAAGTAAGATTCTCCATTTGAAAGTTGGGTAAGTTCGACAAATATAGCCTCTGTTAAAGGCGTTACTCCGCCACCAAATTTATTCGCATAGACGAAATAATCTCGAACGCGTTTAGAAAAATGGTGTAGGCCTAGGCCTATAAGGAAAGGCCGGGAAAACATACATTTTGTTGGTTTGACCGTTAAATATTTTTGAGGTATTAAAGCAAGAATAGAATGTTGTAAATATTGTTTTCGTTACATTTATTCTGTGCGTAATCTCAGGGTCTACTCAACTTTCTTTGCCTATTTCTTGCCCCCCCCCCAAACGGCAGATCAAGGATTTGAAAATAGGGAGTGGCCGGGGCTCAGACATCAAATTTGAAATAGGGGGGGGGGGGGGTGGTTGTTTAGGCAGACGGCATATTTCTTGGAATTCGTTATAAAGACGGTATTTAAAAAAATGATGATTCTGGCAAGATAAGAATTGAATTTCATCAAACTTTTATTTGATTTAATATGATCTGTATACGTTTAGGATACAATATTTATTTCCCCACAACACATCAAGCCGTGATGATTGAATGTCCATTGCATGTAACACGAAAGAAACAGAAACTCTCAAATCTACAATCCTTTAGAAAGATAATAATTAGCCGAGTAATTAGGGCATTACAAGACATCGAAGGACTTAATCTATTTTACAATAGTTGATGCAACCATAATGGAACATTATGCTTCTCGATACTGAGGATATGAAATTTCAGCACAAGTGTATTTGGTTTCAAAATTTTATAGCAGTTCGTTAAAGAAACATTTCGATGCTCACTTGTATAATAAATCTCTATGACAAGCTCATTTTTATCACAACAGTTAAAGCTTTTCACTTTTTGATACTAAAGATTGTTGAAGAATTGCCTAATTGACTGCTCGGATGATTTTTTACCTTTCTCCGAAACCTCTTGTTTTTTTGCTCATGATTATAGCGCATTATTCTTCTTGTCACGGTATGTATTAATAAGCAAATACATATCTGCACAACGAACGTCTTTATGATTATGATGTCCTCGTTTCGTTGTATGTTATAAATTTAATATCATGACGATCGACGAGAAGTGCGTCAAAAATATCTTAACATCGAAATGATTTCTGGTCATGTTTAACTATTTTAATTGAAGCCTTTTTACTTGATCTAATACTTTTATGAGGATGACATAGTCCGCAATAAACTTGACAAACATTATCATCCATACTATATGTCGTAGTTTATAACAATAATTACTCATGAACCTCACACTACAAGGACAACATTCATCCAGATTCTGAGATTGCTCATTCTCACGAAGCTTGGTGTACGCGAAGATATCGGGAAAGAAAGCGGTCTGTAATACCAGACACGCAAGTGGGGTATTTCGGTCCCCGTTCACCGAAAAGTGAGATTCTCCATTTGAAAGTCGGGTAAGGTCGACAAATATAGCCTCTGTTAAAAGCGTTACTCCGCCACCAAATTTATTCGCATAGACGAAATAATCTCGAACGCGTTTAGAAAAATGGTGTAGGCCTAGGCCTATAAGGAAAGGCCGGGAAAACATACATTTTGTTGGTTTGACCGTTAAATATTTTTGAGGTATTAAAGCAAGAATAGAATGTTGTAAATATTGTTTTCGTTACATTTATTCTGTGCGTAATCTCAAGGTCTACTCAACTTTCTTTGCCTATTTCTTGCCCCCCCCCCCAAACGGCAGATCAAGGATTTGAAAATAGGGAGTGGCCGGGGCTCAGACGTCAAATTTGAAATAGGGGGGGGGGGTGGTTGTTTAGGCAGACGGCATATTTCTTGGAATTCGTTATAAAGACGGTATTTAAAAAAAATGATGATTCTGGCAAGATAAGAATTGAATTTCATCAAACTTTTATTCGATTTAATATGATCTGTATACGTATAGGATACAATATTTATTTCCCCACAACACATCAAGCCGTGATGATTGAATGTCCATTGCATGTAACACGAAAGAAACAGAAACTCTCAAATCTACAATCCTTTAGAAAGATAATAATTAGCCGAGTAATTAGGGCATTACAAGACATCGAAGGACTTAATCTATTTTACAATAGTTGATGCAACCATAATGGAACATAATGCTTCTCGATACCGAGGATATGAAATTTCAGCACAAGTGTATTTGGTTTCAAAATTTTATAGCAGTTCGTTAAAGAAACATTTTGATGCTCACTTGTATAATAAATCTCTATGACAAGCTCATTTTTATCACGACAGTTAAACCTTTTTCACTTTTTGATACTAAAGATTGTTGAAGAATTGCCTAATTGACTGCTCGGATGATTTTTTACCTTTCTCCGAAACCTCTTGGTTTTTTGCATATGATTATATAGCGCATTATTCTTTTTGTCACTGTATGTATTAATAAGCAAATACATATCTGCACAACGAACGTCTTTATGATTATGATGTCCTCGTTTCGTTGTATGTTATAAATTTAATATCATGACGATCGACGAGAAGTGCGTCAAAAATATCTTAACATCGAAATGATTTCTGGTCATGTTTAACTATTTTAATTGAAGCCTTTTTACTTGATCTAATACTTTTATGAGGATGACATAGTCCGCAATAAACTTGACAAACATTATCATCCATACTATATGTCGTAGTTTATAACAATAATTACTCATGAACCTCACACTACAAGGACAACATTCATCAAGATTCTGAGATTGCTCATTCTCACGAAGCTTGGTGTACGCGAAGATATCGGGAAAGAAAGCGGTCTGTAATACCAGACACGCAAGTGGGGTATTTCGGTCCCCGTTCACCGAAAAGTGAGATTCTCCATTTGAAAGTCGGGTAAGGTCGACAAATATAGCCTCTGTTAAAGGCGTTACTCCGCCACCAAATTTATTCGCATAGACGAAATAATCTCGAACGCGTTTAGAAAAATGGTGTAGGCCTAGGCCTATAAGGAAAGGCCGGGAAAACATACATTTTGTTGGTTTGACCGTTAAATATTTTTGAGGTATTAAAGCAAGAATAGAATGTTGTAAATATTGTTTTCGTTACATTTATTCTGTGCGTAATCTCAAGGTCTACTCAACTTTCTTTGCCTATTTCTTGCCCCCCCCCCCAAACGGCAGATCAAGGATTTGAAAATAGGGAGTGGCCGGGGCTCAGACGTCAAATTTGAAATAGGGGGGGGGGGTGGTTGTTTAGGCAGACGGCATATTTCTTGGAATTCGTTATAAAGACGGTATTTAAAAAAAATGATGATTCTGGCAAGATAAGAATTGAATTTCATCAAACTTTTATTCGATTTAATATGATCTGTATACGTATAGGATACAATATTTATTTCCCCACAACACATCAAGCCGTGATGATTGAATGTCCATTGCATGTAACACGAAAGAAACAGAAACTCTCAAATCTACAATCCTTTAGAAAGATAATAATTAGCCGAGTAATTAGGGCATTACAAGACATCGAAGGACTTAATCTATTTTACAATAGTTGATGCAACCATAATGGAACATAATGCTTCTCGATACCGAGGATATGAAATTTCAGCACAAGTGTATTTGGTTTCAAAATTTTATAGCAGTTCGTTAAAGAAACATTTCGATGCTCACTTGTATAATAAATCTCTATGACAAGCTCATTTTTATCACGACAGTTAAACCTTTTTCACTTTTTGATACTAAAGATTGTTGAAGAATTGCCTAATTGACTGCTCGGATGATTTTTTACCTTTCTCCGAAACCTCTTGGTTTTTTGCATATGATTATATAGCGCATTATTCTTTTTGTCACTGTATGTATTAATAAGCAAATACATATCTGCACAACGAACGTCTTTATGATTATGATGTCCTCGTTTCGTTGTATGTTATAAATTTAATATCATGACGATCGACGAGAAGTGCGTCAAAAATATCTTAACATCGAAATGATTTCTGGTCATGTTTAACTATTTTAATTGAAGCCTTTTTACTTGATCTAATACTTTTATGAGGATGACATAGTCCGCAATAAACTTGACAAACATTATCATCCATACTATATGTCGTAGTTTATAACAATAATTACTCATGAACCTCACACTACAAGGACAACATTCATCAAGATTCTGAGATTGCTCATTCTCACGAAGCTTGGTGTACGCGAAGATATCGGGAAAGAAAGCGGTCTGTAATACCAGACACGCAAGTGGGGTATTTCGGTCCCCGTTCACCGAAAAGTGAGATTCTCCATTTGAAAGTCGGGTAAGTTCGACAAATATAGCCTCGGTTAAAGGCGTTACTCCACCACCCAATTCGGAACAGCTTGTCACATGCAGTACCGTTAATGCGCCCGGCACTCTGATCGGCCGTTTTTCAGTGTATTTTCTTTTAGTGTTCTTAAAAATTTGCCGTGTCGTTTGATCAAAGAGGTACTGGGCAAGCTTGCCTATTAATGATTTGGTTCAATACATACGCCATCTAACCTTTATGTTTTAAGGTAATGATTATATTTATGCAGAAAAACTAAAATACTTGTGACAGTGCGATTATTTCAAGTCGCCCTTTTTAGGTTATTATGCAGCAACATGACCAATCAAAGTTTGGTCCAGTTAACGCTTGTTGGTTGGTGGTTTTTTTAAAGTTTATTTGTCCAATTAACTTCTATATCTTCTCAATGTTTCCTTTCCATCTTTCCTCATGTTTTTCACTATTATCACCTTTGTTCTATATACCTTTCGGCTGATATTATTCTTTATTTTTCTCCTTCTTTCAGCATCTCTTTTCTAATTTTCATTATATATTTCTTTATTTTCTCCTAATTTTATCTTCTTTAGCCATCTTTCCTTATGCCCTTCTTTATTTTCTCCGTCTTTCTAATTTTCATCTTTCCTTATGTATTCCTCTATTTTCACCTTGTTTTATTCTCTCTATCTTTTCTCATGTATTTCTTTATGTCTAACCTTCATTATCTTCTGTTTCCATCTTTCCCTGTGTATTTCTTTTTAAACCTTCTTTTATCTTCCTTTTCCATCTTTCCTTATGTTATTCTTTATTTTCTCCTAATTTTATCTTTTTCATCTTTCCTTATGTATTCCTCTATTTTCACCTTGTTTTATTCTCTCTATCTTTTCTCATGTATTTCTTTTTTTTCTAACCTTCTTTATCTTCTGTTTCCATCTTTCCTTATGTATTTCTTTTTAAACTTTTTATCTTCCTTTTCCATCTTTCCTTATGCTATTCTTTATTTTCTCTTCCTTCTTTCCCTCCATTTCCATCTTTCCTTATTATCACCCGTCTTTCCCTATTTTATCCTCCCTTTATATTTTCCTTCTGCATTTTTCCATTGCCAAGCACATCAATGTTCTCTTCTATACGTAAAAGAAACTTAAATAGCTAGTACTTGCTAAAAAAAAACAATATGAAGTGAGACTTTAGACACACTGAATCCAGGCCTATTATAAATATAGGTGTAGGGTCTGCGATGAGAAGACTATGAATCTGGACTGGATATCAGATACCAGCTGGTAATCCCTTTATCAGTAACTAGGCTATGATTGACCACTGTCTCTCTCCCCATGGACCCTACTGGTAATCCCTTTATCAGTGGTCAGTGCTCCTATCAGATTATGGTAGCTCCAGGAAAAGTGGTGAACTGGTGAGCAGAGCTCAAATGAGATGTTTTCCTAATGTTCATTTCAAATAATGATAATCTGTATTTTGTGTTGACTACATACATGTATATATCACAGACAATGTAAAAGAAAAGAAAGTTCAGAAGTAATTTGAAACTATATCTATTTAGCACTTTGATTTGTAAGATCTCACAATTATGAACCGTGCACCATTTCTGCTCCTCCTGTATTCTATTCTGTAAAGCTCATAGAGAGGTGCAAGTATGCCTATGTGTTATGCGCCATGCAAAAAAAAAAAGGATTAATGTATCTGTTATGGCCTTATATAAACTTTGCTTTAGCTCAATATTATTCAACCAGTCAGGAGATAGGAGAGTAGACCAACTACATTTTAATAATTGGATACATGTCACTTACAAGCTTTCAATTTCTCTGCAGATTCCGAGATGCAAGAGGATTCCAGTTTGTCCTTGTCTCTGAGCTAGAGGAGCTAGCCAAGCTCTACGAGTCAGCCTGGGATGGGGTGACCAGTCTCCAAGACAAACTCAAGGATAAGGCTCTCTTAGCAGAAGCAACAGACTGCCATCTTAGACCATTCAAAGGGAGGCACAAACACACGTAAGCTCAAAAAGAAAGAAAGAAAGATCATAATACCCTCAATTTTTGTTAAGCAGTTTTATATTGCATGCTTGACTTGACCTAAAGGTAAAGACCAGTTATGGTCATGCGATTGCATTGTGAAAGAAACGTTGTGGAATCAATCAGAAAAGGTTGATCATCTAGCATATAACTACCGTATTTGCCGGTGATAAGGCCGCACCGCCGCATAGGCCGCACCCCAACTTTGACATTTCAAAGAGGGAAAAAAACAAAAAACGGACAAAACAAAATAATCGTAATTTTCTCTTAAAACACTAATTTTTTTTACAAACTGATACCAAATTCATCAATATTCTTATAATTTACCGAAGTTTAGCTAAAAAGATGATCGCAGGCAGATTTGCTGGCCGATATACCCCTACCATAATGTAGGGTGTAATGCGAAATGGCATGAAATGGAAAAACAAAATGGCGACTTCAGATGGATGCTTCGCGGCTGGTCCGTTAAACGGTCCCTTCCTTTACTTTTGCAATGCATTGGCACAAACTTAGATAAAGATATATATCGGCAAATGTTGTTTTAGGAAGTTATTTTCGTCTTCATGTCAACAATGCAAGAGAAAATTGTCGGTAAGATGTTTGAAAATGTCCTGTACCATAGTGGTATAGTTATTTTACCGTTTGTAGTCCTATATGGGTAAATTCGTGCTGATTTTGACTTCGTTTTTTTTTTTTTTTTACTCTTTCGTCGTAAAGGCCGCACCCCGACTTTTTGATATTTTCTCTTCCAAAAATACTGCGGCCTTTACGCCGGCAAATACGGTATTAGTGTGTACTGCAAGGTTCTGGAATCATCAAAATGATAAGAAATTTGGCCCAGTCTTCGTAAAGTTACAAGCACTGTACACAGAAAGATGTATATGGGACTATACGAACACGTGCGCGACACATGCGTTTATCTCTCACAGACCATGTAGATAAACTAATTTACCAAATATATCAATTAGTAGGCGGTTTCCCGGCAAAATTTTTATCCTCATTTATTAGTAAAAACATTCTTTCACATGATTGGTAATAAGAGCTTCCATTTTATTTTTTGAAATTGGGGCGTTTCTAATACTGGTCTTCACCTTTAAGCTGTCCACACCATCACTGGGATGTATGATGGCTTCTGTATCACAACGGCATGCATGAACATGTTATTGTTCTGTATATACATATACATGTAACGTACATTATAAATTACACCCAAAATAAAAGTATTATTGGTTGACATACTTTACAGAATTGCCGCACAAGCAATAAATTTACCCCCCCCCCCTCTCTCTCTCTCTCTCTCTCTTTCCATTTCTCTCTCTCTCTCTCTCTCTCTATCTCTCTATCTCTCTATCTCTCTATCTCTTTCTATTTCTATTTCTATAGATGTGCCTTTTGTAAAGTAGAGGATCAGCTTCAGAAGTATGAGATGAAACTCTTCTCCTTTGATGTCAGGTATGTACAGTATCAGATAGAGTAAAACACTTTTATATTTGTGGGAATAAACAGCAGTGGTCAAGATTAATTTGTGGTCATAATATGCAGGAAAAAATAGAAAACAGTTACTATGAAAGAGAAAATCCAAAGAGTAAAGTTATGTTCACCTGCATTTAAGATATATATTCTAAAGAGAAAAAGATGGAGATGTGAAAGTCATCCTTTATTCTTAGACTATAAACATCATCTACTCAAAAAATGCTGTTGCAAAATTTTGTTGTTGTTGATATTTCAAGAGCATTTTTCAATCTACTTTAATCGAATGGGCTTTGACTTGTACCTGAGAGTAATAATAGTAATAATAAGATTCATTCAGCAGACATAGGCCTAAAGTGTGTGTTTTATCTTACTCTGTGTTCTATAGATGCATACAAATATATGTAAAGCAATGTGTGGATAGAAATGCACCAAACTGGGTCTGCACTTTGTGGCAAAGTATTACAAATTCGCACCTGGGGGTGTTTCACAAAGACTGAGGTCGACTTTAAGTTTGACTTAAAGGGAGTCATGCATCAGTTTCCATGTGCAGAAGGCCATAATTCGCTGACACTAGACTTGGTGGGAAAACCATTAATGGGAGTACAAATCTGCACACAGCAAACCTAGGCCAATCAAGAATTACCCCCTTATCTTTCGGAGAGTCTAGCTTCGGATCACGCTTCGGATCGGGTGAGGGAAAAGCAAAGCATATACATAAGGTCAAATATAATGGTCTTAAAACTCAAGGCTAACCCTGGTGATTCACAACACCTGTTATTGGGCAAACACCCGAACGGTGTTGAATTCCCCATGAGAGCTAACTACTGAGTGTCTTTAACTATGGCAGGCCACTCATGCCACTGTTCGCTCTCACCGTTTATTGGCATTGGTCTCTCAAGGGACGTACAACTCATGGTCACAAATCTACATAATTTATATTTTTTTGATAATTCATTATTGAAGGAAAAAATATTATCTGAAGATCAAAATGGTGAGAGCAAACAGCGGCATGCCATATTTAAGTCCAACTATAAGTCGATGTTATTCTTTGTGAAACACTCCCCAGGACTCATTATTCTTTTGTATTTCAGGAATTTAGAGGTCCAGGAGGTAGCTGGTCCTGCCAACGCTGACCCTAACCAAGACCGCTTCAACCTGATGGCTGGAGGACCTCGCGGTAACTGGGCTGCCAGCGATCATGAGAGGGCGCTACGTATCCTTCACAGCTTCCTGAGGAGCTGCAGTGCAGATGACATCACGCTGGAGGAGGGGACCAACTTCTTGGAGATGCTGGAACAGCAGAGGAAAGAATTTAAGGTATGTTGCAAGAGCCGGTGGAGAGAGGAAGGTTTCGAGAGAGTGAAAAGGACATATGTAAAGAAGAAGAAGAATATGTAGTTTGCTAGGAAAGGAAAGTAAATTTGAATGTTTTCTGAGTAGTGAAATGTGTAGGACAATAGGTTTTATAATGATAATCTAAGTAGGATTTAAAAGGTGAAGTAAACAAGGAAAGGAAAAGATGAATTATACTTTTGCACCGAAGGTATACATGTACCGATATGTAGGAAAGTGCATAGAAATACATGTTGTTCAAGATATGAATTTAGAAGGGAGGAAAGCAATAATTGAAGTTCTATAGATAAAAGTGAACATGAAAGGTTTTTAAGGTTCGGTTAGGAAAGCAAAGGAAAGAAACTAAATTCATAGGGATCACTAAGAAGTGGAGCAAAGAAGATTTATCTATTTGTATCATGAAGAACAATTCATTCACTTTTGGCAAATCAACATATATAGATTTGTTGATTTCAATCATTCAAAGTTTAAACCAATGAGTGAAAATGATTGGCAACACAAAGAATGTACAAATGTATTAGAAAACATAATATATTCAAGAGCATGTTCCCACATTTTTGCTTTGAAGGAAAAGAGCAATTTCAATGACTACAACCATTCAGGCCTTTTCCTCCTAACTTGTGAAAGCAGCATGCTTAGGAACACAAAGTCAAATTATCAAACTTTTAAAGAATTTTAATGTTGATCTCATTTCCTTCAGCCCCTGAGAGCCTACTGGGGTGCTATGCGTGACCGAGTGGCAGCCATGGATGAACTGGAGATGGCGATGTTGAGGTTAAGGGTCAAATTACCAGGAGAGGAAACGGACCCAGCCTCTCAGCCTTACATCATCGAACCTCATGAGGTATGTCACTTTATACAGTATTTGAAGTAACTACCGATATTAGTAGTAGTTCATGAACAAGTTTTGCTCAGTTTTGAATATACAGCATGCATAAAATGTTTGCGACTCCAGGCAATAACATGTTAGCATCATATTGACTTGTGGTGTGATAGCTTGGGCCATACCAACTTCCTTGTTGCCAACCCAAAAGCTTGCAGAAAAGTCAAGCGCATATAGATCTTTCAAGGAATTGTGATGTATGTGCTCACAACATCAGCATTTATGTACATGTATATTTGATTATACAAACTGTATACGCTCAAACCCTTTTAAAATAGAATACAAAAAATGTGTAATACAATGTAGTTTTCATGTTGGCTTTTCTAATTCCCCAAGGCTTATTGCATGAACCTCACATTAGTCAGTTAAAGGTATAGACCAGTTTTGGAAGCGCCCCCCTCTCAAAAAATGAAATGGAAGCTCTTATTACCAATCACGTGTAAGAATATGTGTTGACTAATACGTGATGATACAAGTTTTGCCAAGAAACCGAATCTCCTACAAAATTGATATATTTGGTAAATTATCATATCGATCTGGCCTAGATAGATGTCGCGAATGCCCTTTAACATTGATCATTTGGGCATATATTTCTGTTTTTTTGCGAATTTAGGTTGAAGTATTGCCATCTAAACCTCTGAAGGCAAAATTTAAACAATATTGAATAGATATTTTGTACCCGAAACCCTTGAAACGCAATTTTACCACTTCCGGTCTTTACCTTTAACCCATAGCCTACTGGAATCGAGAGGTCTCTGTATTATGCCAATGGGATCTAGATAATTCAGTAGTCAATGAGTTAAAAGAATCCTGATAATACAGAGAGCATATGTGTGTGTAGTTTCTTTCAGGCACCTTACATGTACTTGCACCTCTAGAGGAGGCGCGATAGCTCAGTTGGTATAGCAGTGGTCTCGTAATCCGGCGACCCGGGTTCGAAACAAAGGTGATGCGCTAGTGCCCTTTGGTAAGGCATTAATCCCCATTACCAGGTCTCTCGGAGAGGACCTAATGCCATCGGTTCCCTGGTTGCTTACTAACAAGCATTTATGCTTTCTTAGCTGTCGGGTCATTTAACCACTACCACCTCTATCTTTCAGATTGACCAGCAGAGGTACAGTTTCCTGAACGACCGTCTCTTTGCCAAGAATGACCTCAGACGTAAGCTAGGTCAGCTGGTCTACCTACGGAATCTCAACAAAGCTCAGTATGACCTGAAGGACGGTTATAATCCGGAGCCCTGTCCTATCTGTGTCAGACCCCTTGGCAAACAGGTAGTTCAGTCATTTTCAGTATCATTGTAATGTATTTGGTAACATTTCCAAGCTTTACAAAATGACATTTCCAGAGAACTTTCAAGATTGATTAAAAAATATTATATACGTTTTACTGAAAATATCTAGTATGAGCTTTTTTCAGATCATTTGGGTTTCCTATCAACCATTCATCAAATTCATGAAATAGTGGATTTGATATAGTTACAGAATGTCATAGAAGGGCATATTTTTGGTCATTCTGTAACAAAGCTGCTTAAGATTCAATATTTTTTAGTTAGTGAATATTTGATATGAAACTCAACTGTCATGAAAGTACTTCTATGAAATTCTAGGAAATTTATGAAAATGTTACTCTGTATGAGTGGACCTTCATTGGTTCATATACATGCAAAAGTTACCAACATAATCCTACCATGTGTCCTTCCATACTTCTGTTTCAAGACTAAATTTAAAAAAAATAGTTTTGTCTTTGCAGTAAAATAAAATGAGTCGACTAGCTTGGTGTCTCCATTGGATCATGTCTTGAAATCTGAACAGGTCACTGGTTATAATGTAAATAAATTCAAATTGTGGCTTTCATCAAGATTAATTATGAGATGTATCCATTTAAAAGCATTCAGATTGGGAGAAAATGCTTTCAATACTGACGTGCTCAAGTAACTATTAAACGATTCAAGCTTTGCGGAATTAATCTAAGCCTTTCCTTGTACATGTGTAAATATAATGTGTGCGCATCTACAAATGTAAAGGAAAATGCACCTTGTTTATAGAAACTATTATCAGGTCTTATAACAATTGTAACATGACATTAGCAAGTGGCTGCATGTGATTATTTGTAAATGGGAAGTTTTTATGCCTCATTGCGTGTCCTCTGTTCACAGTGGACAGTCCTGCAATGTGGGCACTGCTTCTGCAACGAGTGCATGGAGACCATGCTAAAACGCGTCCACATCGCCGGTCGTCAGAGCCCCGTCAAGTGTGCCGTCTGCCGCATGCCCACCGAAGGCGTCGACGTCTCCTACGTCAGTGTGACTCTGCAGCAGCAGGATGCAGCCGAGCAGGCGGCGGCAGAGGAGAGTATCAAGGTCCAGGGAGATCACTCTACAAAGATTGAGGCAGTGGTAAGAACTTTGAAGGGGATACAGCTGAAGGAGCCGGGAGCGAAGGCTATCGTCTTCTCCACTGTGAGTAGCAATTCCTTATTTATCTTGTAAGGCTAGGAAACTAGCATTTATTTGATGTTTTGAATGTCTCTCATTGTTCTGTAGGAACCTTTCCATTAATCACAAAAATCCTCTGTCTTCCTTCCACCTCTCCCCCCCCCCCTCTCTCTCTCTATCTCTCTCTCTCTCTCATCACATTCCATTTTGTTTAAATTTTGTAATGGCCAACTCTTTATCTGAACATACGTAAATTCGCTGTCACCTCCTATCTTTCTTCGTTTTCTCTTTTTCTCATTTTCTCCATATCCTATTTTCACACTTTGTTAATGGGTCTCTGATCCATTTTTGTTAGTAGGCATTCTGCATTCTATAAAGACCTACATGTATTCTTGTCACATTTCATAATTTCTGCTGCTTTTGAATGCCATTGCATGACATCTGAATTTTAGGAACCATTGTGAATATCTGACAAACCGCTATAAAATTATCCCATCTCTGTCCCGAGAATTTTGTTTAAACATGATTTATCACTGTAGTGACTCTTGAGGCTCTGATACTAAATTTGTTGTGGAAACTGATCTTCTAAATATGCTTCCTTTCAACAATTTGTTAAAATAATTATTTTCTCCCTAGTGGTCTGAGGTGCTTGAACTCATCTCCAAAGCTCTGACTCAGAATCAGATCAAATTCAGGAATGCTGGCAAGCAGGGAGGACCAAAACATTTCCAGGTGAGGTCATTTAGCTATTGATTTAAATTGATTTCACATTTTGATTTTGTTAAATTTGTATTTCATTTTTTATATTTTTAAATGTGTTAAAAAATAACCCCTTTTCGACAAGTTGGGGTTACATTTACCCTGGTTTGATGACATATGATATATGAAAATAGGCCCAAATAAAAAAAAGTCTGATGTTGTGCCAAAACTGATGAATTAGCTCCTTGCAGTTTTTGTTGGAATTGTTGTTTCACATTTGCATGAAATATGCCCCGATTCCCCCTTTTCAACACTCTGGCATTATATTGTTACTTGCACAGCAAATATTGTTATTACTACATTGAAACCTGTCTATAAAGACCACCCAAGAGAGACAAGGAAAGTGGTCTTTATAGGCAGGTTCCTTTAGTACATGTGTCAATGAAATTTTTTTTTCAAGGGAAACAAAAAATGTGGTCTTTGTAGACAGGTGGTTTGACTGTATCACTACCATTTGACCTTGTATCTGTATTCAGGCTGCATTGATGGATTTCAAGCATGAAGCAGACATCACAGCTCTCCTCCTACCGGTTCACAGTGGTAGCAAGGGTCTGAACCTCATAGAGGCCACTCACGTTCTTCTGGTAGAACCCATCCTCAACCCAGCAAGCGAGATGCAAGCCGTCGGCAGGGTGCATCGTATTGGGCAAACAAAGTGAGATCTCGACCATTTCACAATGTTCCTTAAATAAATATAACATCAGGGTTTCATTTAAATAGATATGCATATATTGCTATTTAAAATGTACCAATCACCAACACAATATTTTGTTCTTTATGTTAAAGGGGGTGTAGCACGACGAGACTCCATGTCTGTGGGCTGACTCGGGTATAATACGACTACGGACAACATCGCGAAACCGAAGTGTGATGACCATGTAGAGATTAAGTCGCTGACTACTGTTAATCAAGTCCATTAGTTTACATACAGTTGTCCAAAAGAAGAAGTAGATGGCGTTAATCCGTATTTGCCAAGCTACACTCCCTTTAACCCTATTTTAACTGGGCTATTTCAGACCAGGTTTTTACTGGGGGGGGGGGGTCAATTTGACCCCCCCCCCTAAGATCTCGGCCGTTTCACCGCCGATCGCCGCGAAAATTTGCATGCATGTCAAGTGAAGTGTATAGAATACTATGGTAATTTCAAATTTTTGAAAAATTCACTCATTTGCATATTTATGGTAATTTATGCAAATAAGGTCATCAAATTCACATTTCTGCCCATAAATCATAGATTATTCATGTTTACCTATTCTTTTTCACCACATATATTTATTAGACCATTTGGAGTAATAATACAACACAAAAAATTGGAAGAGGCTGGTTATTCCTTATGTTATCTCTTGTTTTTTATAATTTCTTATGTATTTCATTGTTTTTTTAACTTATGTATTTTATTGTTTTTGTTGTTTTATTTCATTTATAACTACAATTCAACTATTTTGACCCCAAAACAAACATCTAAACTTTAAACAAGACTGAATAACCAATGTTTTATCTATTTTTAGGGAAAATGACTTTTACATATGTTTTGTACACAAATCACGAAAATGAGCGATTTTCGGGCTGACATGCAAAGACAAAAGGTCACGTGACCTTGTAACCGTAGGTCCGATTTTCAAAAAAATCGTTTTAAAAGATGCGTAAGACTCGAAAGTAAAAAGTCAGGAAAGAAAAATTTTATATCTGCCGTGGTTTCGGAGTAGTCGCGAAATTTCTACAGGGGGGGTCAAATTGACCCCCCCCCCAGTTAACGTAGGGTTAAGGGTTCCTTGTGGCCATACTATATTAAAGATATAAGTTTCAATATAACTTCTGTAAAGACTCACCCATACATTTTCGAGTAGAATATTATTGTCACCCTACTAGTCAATATCTGTTATATTACATAGCCTTGATTATACTTTGTTATATTAGATAGCTTAGACAGATGTGATTGGTCCACAGCGCGTCACGTAATATCGATTGCGAGTATCAAAATCCTTATACTTTCCTAGCCGGTCACCTTTGATGGTTATATTGACAAACTGGTCAAATGAACATATTTTTAATGAATGCATGTCGCCCTCTTGAAGACAGTGTTTTTCTGACATGTACATGTATCACAAATTCTAAATTTCGGGGAATTGTGGTTGTTGGGGGGGAGGGTCAATTTGTTTAAATCCAATTCTTTTTTCTTCTCAAATTAAGTTTTTCCCTTAAAGTTTGTTTTTCTCGTAAAATGCGCTCGGCTGCAGGTTTGCTTAGATACATGTATGGTATCAAGCAAAAATGTACCCGTTAAAAAATGATCAGGAGTGATCTATGCTAAATACGATCCCTGCAAATGATGTCATGTGACAAGCTGTGGACCAATCAGCTTTCTAATACTGCCTAATAGAAATCAAATCTGGATAAAGTAAAATATTATGCTTATACATTCTAAAGGTGATGAACAAGGCTTTTGAAATTGCCTCAGGTTGATTTCTTTGAAGCCTAACGTTTGTGATCATGTTATATGTATCATTTTAGAATAATCTAAATTCTGTTTTCGTAATTGATTTTTGTTGCCAGGCCAACTGTTGTCCATCGTTACCTCGTCCATGAAACAATTGAAGAGAAACTTCACAGCTACCTCAGCACTCACATTATCAGGTAAGAGCTCGTGCTTGACTGTAGGTCCCACAAGACCGTATTTTGTAGCTTTTTTATGCACTTCTGTATGCACTTCATATGAATGCAAAGTGGAGATAAATCTTTGAGAGAGAGAGAGAGAGAAAGAAAACAGAACTACCACTATGAAAATGATGGACAAAGAAAGCGGACAAAATATACAGTTCCTCATTCTACCCTAAACAATTGCTATGGTAGACAAAGAAACATCCCTTCACTGCTATTATTTAAAAACGTGTAGAACAGGTGAATATGCATGTGACACCTGTTCTACAGATTTTTACATAATAGCAGTGAAAGGATATTCCTTTGTCTACCATAGCAATTGTTGAGAGCAGAATAAGGAACTGTATATTTTGTCCGCTTTCTTTGTCCGTCATGTTACTAGTGTACATATATAAAAAAGGTGAATTTACCATGGATGAGTTGCTAACCATAGCCATTTTATTGAAAGAAAATATGCGACTTGCCAAAATTTAGTGTCTTTTTAGTAATGTAATCAATAAGCTCTTTTCATAATGCAAACATCTTTGAGAAGTGCCTCGATAAAAATTATTTTATCCACTTGTTACAAATAATTGTATTTAAATAGGCACTTCTCAAAAATGTATGCAATAAATTTGGTTACATTATGAAAATGGCCCGTCACTTTGTAGCATGACTCTAATCAACTTTACAAAATCCCCAAATGTTCTTGTTGTACAGTGTACATTGTAATAGACTCTTTCTCTCATTTGCTTTCTTCAATCAGGGATGGATTGAACTCGGTGGAGACCGACACTGGAGATATGACCTTCTCTGACCTCAAAGAGCTGTTCACATCGGAAACTTAATCCAGCGAGCCACTACATCCTTCAGATAGATCACAGATGTCTTTGTCTAAATTCTTCCATTTAACTCAGGCAAATTAAGGGTTAATTCACTAGATGTGTTTACAATTCTTAGTCACAAAATGACATTGAGATGTATGAGAAAGTGCATTTGCAAAATTTTAATCCAAGGTACAAAAAAAGAGAGAAATCTCGTATTATTAGGCTGAATGGAACTTGAAGATTTTCACTTTGATGATTTGGGGCATGACATTTCTTTACGTACATTTAAAACCTCAAAAACACCAACCCATAATTGAGACGACCTTACAAATGGCTCATTTAAACTGGAATAGAAGGAAAGCATTAGATTTACTTCTCAAATATTCCTGATTACAAGCACAAAAAAATTGGTTAAACCCACTTGAAGTACCGTTAGATCTAGATGTAATTCATCAAAATCATGTCCCTCGGTGATCAAAATGTTTTGATGAAACACCTTGATATTTTGTACCAATTGTAAACCCTCTTTAAGATGAATGCCTTATCACTGATCAGACCGGACCCCTCAGTGTCTTTCCATCACCCATATTCATGTGTACAGTTATAATTTCAAAGGGGTTGAAAATGGGTTTCTGTATTTTGTTTTGAAACAAACAGTGTGTGTGTAAGGTAGGTGTATGTACAATTAGGTGCAATGAGACCTCAGGACAGTGTATTGCTGCCAGAAATCATGTCAGTATGTATATATACATGTATATGTCAAAAAGGGTAATATATTTTTGTATTCGGTTGATCAGATGTTAATGTTACACCTGTGTCTCCATGAACACCTGTAACATCCACAGGTACGCAGGATTTATATATTTCTTTCGGGGGAAGGGTTTATTGATGAAGAAATGGTCTTCACCATTGTCTTCCCCACCATTTTATAATTTTCCACAATCCTGATATTCTTTTCCCCTCCCTATAGTTATCTTTTATAGATGTTTTGCTTTATCAGTTGTATTGCTGTATTACATGTATGTTATCAACAACTCATTGTAAATTTAAAAATAGTCCTCATATGATGGTTGAGTAGTTGTCCCAAGAATTCATGCAACCATCACCCTTAGGCCTTTTGTGGTGGATCCAGGATTCTCTAGCAGGGAGGAGGTGTGCAAAAGTGTGATTGAACATTCTGCTACAAAAGTCCCCCCCCCTTTTTTTTTAGCCAGGGGGGTATGTCTCCCTGGTTTCCCGTACTATTGAGATTAAAATGAGTGTTATCCTTGAACTTGGAAGTACATAGAATTCTTTCCCAATCTCTAAAAGGCATACGTCAATGTGTAGTACATAACAAGAACAGTGGAGATGAGACCACGATATTTATAATGTTATATCTGGTATCTTGTTATAACTCTCTGCATAATTTAATTCCACTGTACGGTATGTTTGTTTGGTTTTATACACAAAAGATTTAGTAGTGTCATTCCATGTGAAATCATGAAAATTTGGTTGAAACTTAAACCTGCCTTCTTTGAGAGAAGAGTTTACTGGGTCAGGGTGGAAAATATATGAAAAATGCCCCTTGACCAGAACTCAATCTTTAACCCTAAATTTGGTACTGGGTTAATTAAGGCTTTTAAAGCCTAAAATTTAGCCCCATCAGCCAAACTGTGTCCATGCTGTGGCATTTCACCCCCCCCCCCCTCCCTGGTCAAATTTGTCTGTTATTTTCCATGTCCTAACAACAGAGTTCAACACCTGTTATAAAATTGAATCATACCAAAAAATTGGAGATGTAATATTTTTCATTTGCTTTCCAACTTTTTTAAATTCAGAGCAGTGAAATATCTATTTTGCATATTATGCAGGTAACATCACATGAATAGTTGATGGCACTGGGCAGCATAAATAACTAGTATTACCGATTAGATTTTGGACATTGCAAAAAGTTAAAGGATGCCTAATTTATTTGTAGTACATTTGATTTGATAGGCCATTTCTTTAATGTACGTCTTCCATTCAATTTTATTTATTTTGTTTTTGTTTACAAAAAGTGAAAATATTTAGAGCATTATTTTAAGAATATAATTTTAAAGATACTATGTCCCCTTTGCAGCCATTAAGAGTCATGTATGTCCTATCTGTGAAATTTAAACATCATCAGTGTCCTAGTATGTAAACTATGCAAGGAAACCTGTTTACCTTCACTGTCAGACACTAGTGAGTGACTGACTGACTTTTTTTGTTGTTGTAATAACATACTGTACATAACATGAGCATTTGTCTACATCAATAACCCACTACAGTACTTGTAAAATTAAACTGATTGAATCTTTGTGCAGCACAAAACATACAACCATTGGACTATAAAGGGTCTGAAAATCAGACTATTACTTAGGTGATTGCAATCACTTACAGTATGGTCGTTATTTTCCAACAGCAATACTAATTTAGAACTTCCCTCAAAACAAAAGGGCTTTTTGCGGAATTTAACCTTTCCAACAACAAAAAAGGTAAATTCCAACAGCATTTGACAGACAATACTTATTTAGAACTTTACTTGAATTTTCGGACCCTTGTACCGAATGGTCATACGTTTTGTGCTGCACAAAGATTCAATCAGTTTATTTTTGGCCATTACTAGTAGTGGGTTATTAAAGCTCATTTTATGTATGTTATTACCAAAGAAAAAAAGATGTCAGTCACTAAATAGTGTGCGACAGGAAAGTCTAGAAAGTAAACAGGTTTCCTTGCATAATTAATTTGAATACTAGGACACTGCTAACATTTAAATTTCACAGATAGGACATACCTGACATATTCATAATTCCTGCAAAGTTCTATAGAATTTGATGTTGGCTGCAACAGGGACAAACTATCTTTAAAGGTCATTGAACTCTGTCTTTGGGACATGAAAAATCATGCTTAAAAAGAAAATTATCTATCCAATGTTTTCATTAAATTTGGAAATATACAAATATCGTTTTTAATTGACTTTTTATTAAAACCTGAATGTAGCCGTTGAATTTACCCCTTGAACAAATTGTCAGAAAAAGAGCCTGAAAGGTGATGTCGGACCCCCCCCCCCAAAAAAAAAAAAAAAAAAAAATCCAGATTATGTAAACACGTCCATCATTTTCATGCTCCCCTGTTGTATTGAATTTAAGATGCTCATTTTTTATTTATTTATTTTTATTATCAATCTTTTTTTTAGTAGGGTATCTCCATCAGTAGTTAAAAACTGTTTTCCATGGAGGCCCTACAACATAAATACAAAATTAACAAACATGTTGAAAACAAACAATCCAAATCAAAACAAATCAATTAAGTTACAACATTTTCGAACAAAAGAAAAACAAACACAACACAATGGACCAGTTCAATGATTTTTAATTATTATATCGCCAAAACAAAAGAGTAAATGAAGAATTTGATGGCGCATTTTTTTAAAAATTAGGTAATGTATTCCAGAAAGCCGCGCCATCAAACGAAAAACTTTGTTTCCCCATCTGGGTTTTTATTTTGGGAAAAATTAATCCTGCACTTTGTGCACTGCGTGTTCTAATGTTATGTTCATCTTTTTTGAAACATTTGTAAAATACATGTATAGACGGGAGTTTGATTTTCAAAAAATGTTTAATGATTACATCTCGGACATTTTGTGAACAATTAGACCTTGTATTACAACAATATTCAAATAAAGCCAAAATTAATGCATTGGCAAGAAGCTTCAGTCCCTCCAAAGGTAGGTATCTTTTTGAACGACCAAGTAATGCTATCCTTGACCCCATCTTTTTACTTGTTTTTGTCACGTGATCTTTCCAGCTCAATGTTGGATCTAGCCAGACTCCCAAGTATTTATAGATATAAACCTGACAGATTTGGTGTTGCTCGAGTTGAATGCATATAGATTTTTCAAGTTTAGCCAATTTAATTTGTGAGCCAAATAACATAAATTCTGTTTTTTTTTTGTGGTTTAATGCCAGATTGTTTTCTTTTACCCACTCATAATCTAGTTTTAAATCATGCGTATGACAAAGTGACAAACTTCGGTACATGGGTGAGCTCAACCTGACTTTGGGGGTTCAATAACCTACCTTATCTTAGGGTGTAGTGGAATGGGGCAACCACTGCAGGTTTCCTGCCACCCATATATTAGAGATCATGATGTATTCTTGAAATTCCAATACACTATGATAATTCCAAATATAAAACTAGACAATGTATGGCAAATCACTATTGACAGGGGTCATAGACACCTAGCCATTTTTTTCACATTTCATGAAATGATTTGCAATATCATAATTTGAATAGACAAGGTCAAAGACACCTTCTTAAGATGAAAGTATATGGAAATAAGCCTTTTTGAAAATTTATACATTTTGGCCAAAGAAGATGGGCTAACCCCTTGCCATTTTTTAAAAAAACATTAACATTTCATGAAATGATCCGCAATGTCATATTTTCAATAGACAGGGACAAAGAGATGAAAAGATATGAAAATCAGCCTTTTTGAAAATTCATGAATTTTGACCTAAAATGATGGCTAACATTTTTTCACATTTCATGAAATGATTTGTAATATCATATTTCAAATTGAAAGGGGGCAAACACACCTTCCACAAATGAAAATAAGACTTTTTGAAAATTCATGAATTTTGCCCCAAAATAATGGGCTAACCCCTTGCCATGTTTGTCAAAAAGTTTCATTTTTTTCACGAAATGATCTGCTATATCATATTTCAAATAGACAAGTGTCAAAGAAATGAAAATAAGCCTTTTTAAGAATTCATAGGCCATTGCCATTATTGTCAAAAAGTTTCAATTTTTAACATTTCATGAAATGATCTGCAGTAAGCATATTTTTAATAGACACGGGTCATAGACACCTTCTCAAGATGAAAAGATATGAAAATAAGCCTTTTTGAAAATTCATGAATTTTGGGCAAAATGAGGGGTTAACCCCTTGCCATTTTTGTCAAAAAGTGACATTTTTTCACATTTCATGAAATGATCTGCAATAAGCATGTTTTTAATAGACTGGGGTCAAAGAGTTGAAATGACATGAAAATAAGCCTTTTTGAAAATTTATGACTTTTGGCCAAAATGGGGGCTAACCCCTTGCCATGTTTGTCAAAAAGTGACATTTTTTCACATTTCAGGAAATAATCTGTAATAGCATATTTCCAATAGACTGGAGTCATAAATATCTTCTTAAGATGAAAAGATATGAAAATAAGCCTTTTTGAAAATTCATGAATTTTTGCCAAAATGAGGGGCTAACCCCTTGAAATTTTTTGTCAAAAAATGAAATTTTTCACATTTCATGAAATGATCTGCAATAAGCATATTTTCAATAGACAGGCCGGGGTCATAGACACCTTCTCAAGATGAAAAGATATGAAAATAAGCCTTTTTGACAATACATGAATTTTTGCCAAAATGAGGGGTTCAACCCCTTGCCATTGTCAAAAAGTGACATTTTTTTAACATTTCATTAAATGATTTGCAATGTTTAAATTTGAATAGACAAGGGTCATAGACACCTTCTCAAGATAAAATGA